CCTCACAGGCACGGCCGGGGCCGCGCACGCGCACGCGCGGCCAGCGGGAAGCTTCCGGCGAGAGCTGAGACGCGAACGCGATGCGACGAGTCGGGCCTTCGCCGATCGGCGCGCGGGGATGAAGTAATGCGCAGCGGAGGCTGGTGGGAGCCTCTCAAGCAAGCGCCTAAGAGAGGAAGGAGGAAGGCGGGGCCGCTGCTGGTGGCGGCGGCGGCGGCGCGAATCGGCGGAAGTGGGCGGGGCCGAGTTCAGCTGGGCCTGCCAATGGCTGCGCCACACGCCCTTCTTCGCCGCCAGACTCTCTCTTGGCTCGGTCGCACCCGAGTTTCTGAGGGGATGAGTTTGGCGCCTCTTTTCTTCGCCCTCAGCGCCTCTTCCTGTTCTCCTCTTGTCACCAAGCGCCTTTCTCATAACCGATAAATATCCATATACAAAGCAAGGGGAACTTTTAAATTGAAAAAGACAACAGCATCAAACAGGCCATGAAGAAACATAATAAAACAGTTATTACTAATCCGCGTCCTATTCCTGCCGAAGGAGCACAAGATGGCAGACACAGCAAGAGCAAACATTTAAACCAATTTAAAGCGGCCGTTAAAAATAATTCACAAGCATTTTAAAAACAGCCAAAACATTCACACCAGTTTTTTTAGATAAAAAAAACACACAACTTGAACCTATTCACAACTAGGGATCTCAGAGTTGCCAGAAGCAGTATATCTTCCAGCCACCAAATGCCTGAGCAATTAGAGGTGTTCCTAAATTTCTTCTGAGATTCAGTAATGAAGGAAGGTGTCCAACAAAGGGGGAGCCAACATTAATAAGGCCCTGCCCTTGCCCCAGCACACATGGTGGAGCCACCACTAAGAAGGCCTCACCTTCCAGCCATAGGGTGGGTCTGGAAGTCACTGGTTCAAATGTTGCTTTAAGTGAGACACTTGCATATTGTTTGAATAATATATTTTAAAAATCATTTTTTTAAAAAAGGCCTTCTAGGTACAGTAGTTAAAGAATAGTATAGGATAGTAATAATATTGAAGCCTTGGCTGTCTAAAGTTAAGCAGAAATGTCAAAACAATAATAACATGCTCAGTAGCAAGATAGGTGGAAACATAAGCCCTTCCAATGATTTATTTGTATTATATTTAAAGCATTTTTATCCTGCTCTTGGGTTTAAAAAAGACTGCCAGAGTGGCTTACAAATGTCACTGATGAGACAGTCTCTGCCCTCAGGTTTAATATCTAAAAGATGCTACCTTTTGTGTTGTGTCTTTTAGATTATAAAACGGAGGGGAAAGGCTGTCTTTGTAAGAGATATTTGTAAGCCGCCAAGGCAGCCTTTTGAGGAGAGTAAAAGGAAAAGGGAAACTTGGGCTCTGCAGAGTTTTTATTGGGAGCCACTAGAATGGAATGATTTAAAAATGGTAGCTGCTCTTTCCTGCAAAACTGACACAGTATTAATGACGTCCAGAAATTTTATCAAGCAAAGGTATAATGTATTTATCATTAGTCATTTAATATTATGGATGGTCTGGGAGCATCATTATAATTTAGCTTTCATGATCAAGGTTAAAATTCCCATTGAACTCAATGGGCCCTTACATCTGAGTAGACATGCAGAGAATTGCACTGCAGCACTCTTATTATTTCTTTCCTTCTTGCTTTATTAACTAATTTATTTCTTGTTTGCTTTATTAATCTATGATCAATATACTTTTTTTAAAAAGCTAGTGATGGGGTGTTTGTTTTGTTTAGTCGTTTAGTCGTGTCCGACTCTTCGTGACCCATGGACCAGAGCACGCCAGGCACTCCTGTCTTCCACCGCCTCCCGCAGTTTGGTCAGGCTCATGTTTGTAGCTTCGAGAACACTATCCAACCATCTCATCCTCTGTCGTCCCCTTCTCCTTGTGCCCTCCATCTTTCCCAACATCAGGGTCTTTTCCAGGGAGTCCCTATTATTCTCATGAGGTGGCCAAATATTGGAGCCTCAACTTCACAATCTGTCCTTCCAGTGAGCACTCAGGTCTGATTTCCTTAAGAATGGATGCGTTTGATCTTCTTGCAGTCCATGGACTCTCAAGAGTCTCCTCCAGCACCATAATTCAAAAGCATCAATTCTTCGGCGATCAGCCTTCTTTATGGTCCAGCTCTCACTTCCATACATCACTACTGGGAAAACCATAGCTTTAACTATACGGACCTTTGTTGGTAAGGTGATGTCTCTACTTTTTAAGATGTTGTCTAGATTTGCCATCGCCTTTCTCCCAAGGAGCAGGAGTCTTTTAATTTCGTGACTGCTGTCACCATCTGCAGTGATCATGGAGCCCAAGAAAATAAAATATCTCACTGCCTCCATTTCTTCCCCTTCTATTTGCCAGGAGGTGATGGGACCAGTGGCCATGATCTTCGTTTTTTTGATGTTGAGCTTCAGACCATATTTTGCGCTCTCCTCTTTTACCCTCATTAAAAGGTTTTTTAATTCCTCCTCACTTTCTGCCATCAAGGTTGTGTCATCTGCATATTTTTTACTATGGCAGACCAACACGGCTACCTATCTGTAACTGCATATCTGAGGTTGTTGATATTTCTTCCGGCGATCTTGATTCCGGCTTGGGATTCATCCAGCCCAGCCTTTCGCATGATGAATTCTGCATATAAGTTAAATAAGCAGGGAGACAATATACAGCCTTGTCGTACTCCTTTCCCAATTTTGAACCAATCAGTTGTTCCATATCCAGTTCTAACTGTAGCTTCTTGTCCCACATAGAGATTTCTCAGGAGACAGATGAGGTGATCAGGCACTCCCATTTCTTTAAGAACTTGCCATAGTTTGCTGTGGTCGACACAGTCAAAGGCTTTTGCATAGTCAATGAAGCAGAAGTAGATGTCTTTCTGGAACTCTCTAGCTTTCTCCATAATCCAGCGCATGTTTGCAATTTGGTCTCTGGTTCCTCTGCCTCTTCTAAATCCAGCTTGCACTTCTGGGAGTTCTCGGTCCACATACTGCTTAAGCCTGCCTTGTAGAATTTTAAGCATAACCTTGCTAGCGTGTGAAATGAGTGCAATTGTGCGGTAGTTGGAGCATTCTTTGGCACTTCCCTTCTTTGGGATTGGGATGTAGACTGATCTTCTCCAATCCTCTGGCCACTGCTGAGTTTTCCAAATTTGCTGGCATATTGAGTGTAGCACCTTAACAGCATCATCTTTTAAAATTTTAAATAATTCAGCTGTTGTCTTTGTCCATGGAGTTTTCTTGGCAGGGATACTGGAGTGGCTTGGGGTGTTAGACAATCTTAATTTAATCATTTTCAGATCATGGGAGTCAATACTTATCAATGTTTGCATTAGGCTTCCATCATAAGGTATATAATTTTTAATACTGTATTTTAATATTTTGAGATGTTTGTATTCATGAATTATGTTGTACACTGCCCTGGGCTCCCTTGTGGGAAGGGAATAATAATAATAATAATAATAATAATAATAATAATAATAATAATAATATGCACTTACCTGTGGGACTTCTTAGTGTATTGCAGCTGTGAGAAGGAATTTTCCATGCTAAGGATGAGGAACTGAAAACTGCCAGTATCATAATGCCTTATTATAAATGTATGGCAGTTTTGTATTTTGAATGCATTCTGGTCACCCCACCTAAAAAGGAGTTTCAGCACTGAAAAAGAGGCAGAAAAGCACAATTGAAATAACCAAGGGGTTTTGAATTTTTTGATTTCCGGAGAGGCAATACATGGGGGAACAGAGAGATGGTATAGGTTTATAAAGTAATGACATATGGGAAGATGAATTGTTCTCTGCTTCCCATGATATTTGAATTTGGATTGTCCAATGAAACTTTTATTCATATCACGCTGGAATACAAACTACATGAATGGAGTCAGTTCTGTGCCTTGTTTTCACTTCTGAAATATAATTCTACTTTTTACCTATGAATAACATTGGCTGTTAGTCATGGTAGCTAAATGGACTAAATGCTGAAGCAGAACAAGGTTGTAAAGCCCTCCCTTGGGAATACTCAAGATGAAGTGAGTATGAATGAATGTTTATTGGATCGGCCCTTGGATTACTAATAAACATGATACCAAAACTTCCATAAAGGCGCAGTAGTTACAGTTAACATTAATATATTATATGTATGTGATTCCTTGTGATAAGCAGAGATTTGTTTATAAAACAAATAAACATGTAAGCAGGTAAATTCGATGACAGCAAGATATGCTTTATACTCTCATGTCTTCAATTCACTATGACAGCTGACAGAAATGGAATCCAAAACCTTCCCCCTGCATTTAGTGGCTTTTACTCTGAATGAAGCAACTCTCCAGGTTACATACTATCATGTGCTTATAGCAGGAAGCCCAGATTCTTTCAAATCCAAGTATTTAATTCTCTTTAATAATAGCTCGAAATAATGTTCTGTAATATCAGTATACAACAGACACTGAAAGATATAATGAGCCAAAGCCTCACAGACACTAGGATGTTGCTGCACTGGGATCCCATGAAATCTCCCCAACGGCACCATGGAATCCATTTGTTCGAAATGTAATTGAGTGAAAGCTTTCCAATAGTCAATTGTTAAAGGGAATAACAAAGCATTTTTCATATTGATGCTGATGTTTTACATTTCCCAACCATTTCACTGTTCTTGAGGATGTGGGAATTCTGGTTTTTCTTTGGATTAGATACTGTAGATTAAGTTAGTGTTAATATGTCTATGGCCATCTGACCAATTATTCTCTAAGCCATCTCTGTTGAAAATGGTAAATGCTTTATTTTCCTTGGTCTCTGGGGCAAGTGGCAAGGTATCAAAGGTAGTATTTTTTTAGTCTGCACATTTAGATAATAAGACAGATATATTTGTGGGGTCCTTCAATACAGCTCTGACTTGATTGGGTAGATAAGATTGGGTAGAATCATAAAATCACAGAATTGAAAAGGACTCCAAGGGCATCTAGTCTAACTCCCTGAAATACAAGTTATTAAATTGCTAAATAAACTGCTTTTATTATTTCAGTTTCCATGCTGCTATTCCACTCATAACATAACAATAAAAAATACAAATCAATACAAATCAATACATCATTAACAATAACAGTTTAAATGCTAATTTATTTCAAAACATAATATGGCAATCCAAATAAATAATTCATTTTGATAATATAGATGTTATATTTTAATTCATGATGAAATAAACTTTCAATCATGAAAACATATCAATTGATGTCTGTTGTTGTTGTTGTTGTTTAGTTGTGTCCAACTCTTCATGACCCCATGGACCATATAAATCAGAATTGGATATTTGCTTGTTAAAATTAGTTCCTGACCTTGATCCCAAAGGAGCCTTGGTCTGTGGGAACATAATGATAAACATTTCCAGTACCATCAGATATAAACGGTTAAATAACCAGCAGCCAGTATGTGGCAGTAGTAACAAATAAAGTGCATAACACTTTTTTCCACAGAGGCTAAAAACTGAAGTGCACATAGTTTGTATTAGCTGGGTCACATACTATAAACATGCACTAATTAACCCTTGCACAAAGTCATTCTGTGTTGGCAACAGGTGGTTTCAGTCACCTCCTTCAGTCTGGCTTCTCAACAACTATCACAACACCCCTCCCTTTCCTCGATCTCATCTGGGGGGTGGGCATAACTAGGGCAGCCAAAAGGATACCCCCCCAGCCCCCACCCAAAGGGAACCCTTGTATTTCGCCCCACCACCTTCTTTTCACCCCTGACCAAAATACTGGCAAGGGGCCTCTCCCCCGTGTGGTCTCCAACCGTGGCTCTCAAATGGTGTGGCAGCAAGAGAGAATGGCATGTGTCAAAGAAGCATTTAAACATTTCAGTGCAGTATAGTATGCTATCAATTGATTGATTGATTGTAGAATATGGATAAACGTATTTTCAAAATGAGAGCGAGACCATCAAGTGACAATGAGGACAATCCTAGCTGTTTTCCAATGTTTCCGTTATCAGTAAAAAAATTACCATACTTTTCCGTGTATAAGACTAGGATTTTTTTTAACTAAAAATGTTAAAAGGGGGATAAGTCTTATACCCAGGGGCAATCTCCCCCCATTTTCTTAATTTTGAGTCGCCCAAAATAGGGGGAATCTTATACACGGAAAAATACAGTAAGGATTTTTCTTTTCTTTTATTCTGAAAGTGTTGGTCCACGGAAAAAAGTTTGAGCACCTATTATTTTTTGGGAGAACCACAGACAGCTTTAACACCTTCACCTTCACGAGTGATGTCAAAGTTACAGCGCCTGCTGTGTCTGTGTACAGACTGATACTGGACGGACATGTTTTGCTGCAGCTGGGGCAGAGGAAAGTGTCCGCTTTGGCTGCTGCAGGTGCACTATGGCAGTGCCTCTCTCTGCGCTCCTCCCAGCTGTCATTCCTCCTCTGGTCACTGCTGTGGATGCACCACCTGACCGTCTGTCTCCAGGCACTGGTAGTCATCTGCAAAGGATTCCCACATGGCGCGGTCTTTCAAAGCAGAACCAGTGAAGATCCTGTGTGAGTGTCTGGAGGCGGTTGGATGGCGGCTAACAGATTGAGGTTGAATCCTGACAAGACAGAAGTACTGTTATTGGGGGACAGGGGAGAGGCTGGTGAGGAGGACTCCCTGGTCCTGAACGGGGTAACTGTTCCTGAAGGACCAGGTGCGCAGCCTGGGAGTCATTTTGGACTCATCTCTGTCCATGGAGGCGTAAGTCAATTCTGTGTCCAGGGCAGCTCCATCTGGGACGCAGGCTGAGACCCTCCCTGCCCGCAGACTGGCCAGAGTGGTGCATGCTTCAGTTATCTCTTCCTTGGACTACTGCCATGTGCTCTACGTGGGGCTGCCTTTGAAGGTGACACGGAAACTGCAATTAATCCAGAATGCGGCAGCCAGACTGGGGACTGGGAGTGGCCGCCAGGACCACATAACACCGGTCTTGAAAGACCTACGTTGGCTCCCAGTACGTTTCCGAGCACAATTCAAAGGGACGGTGCTGACCGAAAGCCCTCAATGGCCTTGGCCCAGTAGACCTGAAGGAGTGCTTCCACCCCGGACGCCAGGGTCCCTCTCTGGCAAGATGTGAAGTTACAGGGAACCAGGCAGAGGGCCTTCTTGGTGGTGGTGCCCACCCTTGTGGAACGTCCTCCCAGCAGATGTCAAGGCAATAAGCAACTATCTGACTTTTAAAAGACATCTGAAAGCAGCCCTGTTTAGGGAAGTTTTGAATGACGGATGTTTTAACGTATTTTTAATCTTTGTTGGAAGCCTCCCAGAGTGGCTGGGAAACCCAGCCGGGTGGGTGGGGTATAAATAAATTATGATGATGATGTCATGTTTGTTGTAATAAGGAGGAATAGAGCTTCCACACCTGGATCTGCTGGTCCTGTGGCTCCTGGTGCCTTGCCTTGCCTCCTGGGTGGGCCTGCCCTGGGCGCAATCACTGCTCTTCCAAGGGGACCCACTCCGGAACGGGGCCATCTTTACCCAGGGGTGCAAGGGGGGTGGGGCACCCGGGCGCTGATTTCTGCAGGGTGCCAGGTGCCTGCTGCTGAAGCCACCCAAGGTCTTAACTACTTACCTATTAGGAAATAATAAGTGGCAACTGCATCCATGGAATCAATGACACAGGCACTATTTAAAATAAATGAATCTTTAGAAGCCTTGACGAAGCAGTCTACAGAAAACTCTAAAAAACTGACAGATTTGACAACAAGGCTGGACTTGAACACTAAAAGTGTAACGTCTAATACAGAATCTATTAAAAAATTGATTGAGGAAAGTTCTGCAACTCGAAAGATTGCGGAAGATGCGAGAAATATTGCAGAAGAGGCACAGGAAAAACTTGCACCGATTTCTAAAAAAGTGAATGAGCATGAAGCGGCCCTATCTTTGTTGGAACTACAGAGGAAGGAGAGGAATTTGAAATTGAGACTAGTCCCTGAGAGTGAAGGGGACAACCTTGTGGATTTTATCACACAGGAGTTTTCGGAATTTTGGCAAGAAAATCTGAAGGAAGAAGAATTTAAGATAACAACAGCTTTTCGACTGGGCAGGAGACAAAATAGAAAACCAAGGGATTGCCTGATTACTCTAAGATCCAAAGAAGAAAGAGACAAAATATTAAATCTACATTACCAAAAAGCTTTGGAGATAGAAAATTCTCAAATACAAATCTTTAAGGACATCCCTAAATACATCTTGGAGGTGAGAGCCTTCTACAAGGATCTGGTCTACCTGCTGAAGAAGAACATCATACCTTTCAGGTGGGAGTTTCCACAAGGATTGTCCTTTAACTACAAAGGAAAGAAGGTCAAAATAAAGACAATTCAGGACAAAGAGCAGTTTCTGGAGAGAAACCAGGAGGACTTGCAGAAAGGAACAGTAGATCCAACCCCAGAAGAAAAAGAATCGACAGATATCCTGAACCTAACATTTGGACTTAAACCACCGACTGAAGAGGAACAACAGCTTGGAGCAGTCGGAGGAACAGATACCTAATAACAAAATGTCTCTGCAATTCTTAAGTTGGAATTGTAATGGTCTCAACCTTCCCAGGAAAAGAAGCCAGGTTTTTCATATTTTGAAAAAAGAACAATTGGACTTGATCTGTTTACAAGAAACCCACGTGACTAGGACACATAGAAAACTACTTATAAATAAAAGATTAGGACAGGAATTTATTTCATCAGACAAAGTTAAGAAAAGAGGAGTGGTGATTTATGCAAAAGAAAAACTGGCCCCAAAGATGATACTTAAAGATGAACAAGGAAGATATTTGGCAATTGAAATACAAGTTCAAGGAGAAAAGCTCTTGATAGTTGGAATATACGCACCGAATGAAGGGAAGGCGGAATTTTTTAAGAAGTTGCATGAGACTTTAATGGACTATCTTGACTATAATATTGTAATGATGGGAGACATGAATGGTGTGGTCTCTACAAATATGGACAAGGCACAAAGACAGGTAATTTCCAAGGAAGGGAGATTACCAAAGACTTTCTTTGAAATGACTGAAAACATGGACTTGATTGATATCTGGAGAATAAGGAACCCTCTTGAAAGAGAGGGAACTTTTTTCTCTGAAGCAAAAATGACATGGACAAGAATCGACCAAATCTGGGTAACTAGTGGTATGGCGCCAAAGATAAAAAAGGTAGAAATCTGCCCAAAGACTTGCTCCGACCATAACGCTGTGAAGATGGAAATGAAAGTAACAACAGCTGGATCCTTCAGATGGAGAATGAATGACTCCCTCTTTAGAGATGAAGAGATTTACAAAAAGGCCCAAAAAACATTGAAAGACTACTTTGAGATAAATTTGAGAACAAAGGTGGAGAAAAGAATAATTTGGGACGCAAGCAAAGCCGTGATGCGAGGTTTTCTAATACAACAGAACTCTATAAAAAGGAAAAAACAAAATGAGAAGAAAGAAAATTTTTGGAAAAAATGAAAGAAGGAGAAAAGAAACTGAGGTCTAAACCAAAGTCTCATGAGATTTTGAGAGAAATTAAGTTCTATCAGATGCAGTATATGGAACTGATGAACAAAGAGATAGAATGGAAAATTAAGCAAATGAGACAAAGGACATTTGAATCAGCAGATAAATGTGGGAAACTTTTAGCATGGCAATTAAAAAAGAGGCAAAAATTGAACACGGTGACAAGCTTGGAGATGGATGGAAAGAATATTTACAAACCAAATGAGATAAGCAACTGCTTTCAAAGTTATTTCAGGAAACTATATGCACAAGGGCCAGTTAACGAAGAAGAAATAGAAGAATTTCTTAAGAAATATGGACTAAAAAAAATCTCAGAACAAAGTAAAAGGATCTTGAATGAGAAAATATCAGGACAAGAAATAGAGGGGGCTATTCAAAATATGCAATTGGGAAAACCTCCAGGACCAGATGGTTTGACTGCTAGATATTACAAAGCATTGAAGGAATGGTTGGTACAACCATTGAGGGAAGTTTGTAATGAAATTTTGGAGGGGAAAAAGGCACCTGAATCGTGGAAAGAAGCTTTCATTTCACTTATACCGAAAACAGAGACTGAGAAGAACCAGGTTAAAAACTACCGCCCTATATCATTACTTAACGTGGACTATAAAATTTTTGCAGACATTTTGGCAAAAAGATTGAAGAGAGTGTCGGTAGGAGAGATTCATAAGGACCAGGCTGGCTTTCTCCCAGGGAGACATATGTCAGACAATGTGAGAAATATAATAGACATTATGGAATTTTTAGAAGTGAACATTAATACGAAAGCTGTTTTAATCTTTGTGGATGCGGAGAAAGCCTTTGACAATATTTGCTGGCGTTTTATGAAGAAGAATCTCCAAGGGATGGGGGTAGGCCAAGGTTTTGAAAACGGTATAGGTGCAATATACTCTGAACAAAAAGCAAAGCTGATTGTAAATAATGTGGTTATGGAAGAAATACCTATTGAAAAAGGAACATGACAGGGATGCCCAATATCCCCTTTACTCTTTATTTCGGTCTTGGAGGTTTTGTTAAATATGATTAGAGGGGACCAGCTGGTTAATGGAGTTCAGGTCGGAGCTAAACATTACAAATTGAGGGCATTTGCAGATGACTTAGTATTGACTTTGCAACAGCCAGAAACTAGTACTAAAAGAGTTTTAGAATTAATTGAAATATTTGGTCAAGTAGCAGGATTCAAATTGAATAAGCAGAAAACTAAAGTTTTGGAGAAAAATCTAACAAATATTGAAAAAGAGAGGTTTCAGAGTGAAACAGGTTTGATGATAGAAAAGAAAGTGAAGTACCTGGGGGTAAATTTAACAGCTAAGAATGTGAACCTATTTAAAGACAATTATGATAAATGCTGGACAGAAGTAAAGAAAGACTTAGATATATGGTCAAGGCTGAGACTTTCCTTGTTAGGCCGAATTGCTGTCATCAAGATGAATGTATTGCCTAGAATGCTGTTTTTATTTCAGACATTGCAGATTGTGGACAAGATGGACTGTTTCAAGAAGTGGCAGAAAGACATATCTAAATTTGTCTGGCAGGGCAAAAAGCCCAGAATAAAATTTAAGATATTAACTGATGCAAAAGATAGAGGGGGGTTTGCCCTGCCGGACTTAAGACTGTACTATGAATCGGCAGCCTTTTGCTGGTTGAAAGATTGGCTACTTCTTGAGAACACGGACATTTTGGATTTGGAAGGGTTTGATAACAGATTTGGTTGGCATGCATATATATGGTATGACAAGGTAAAAATGCATAAAGGCTTTAAAAACCATATTGTTAGGAAAGCATTATACAATGTCTGGATGCGGTATAAAGACTTATTGGAAAGTAAAACTCCCAGGTGGTTATCACCAATGGAAGCCAGGGAAGTGAAAAAACTCAATATGGGGTCTAAATGGCCAAAATATTGGGAAATTTTAGAGCAAGATGGTGGAGAAATTAAATTACAGAGCTATGAGAAATTAAAGCCTAAACTACGAGATTGGCTTCATTACCTTCAGATAAATGAGGTATTTAAACAGGACAGGAAAATAGGCTTCCAGACGGAGAGGTCAAAACTAGAAACAGAACTGTTAGAACCCAATACTAAGAACCTGTCAAGAATGTATAATTTGCTGTTGAAATGAAATACACAGGATGAAACGGTGAAATCAGCCATGATCAAATGGGCACAAGACATCGGTCATGATATTATGTTTGCTGACTGGGAACAGTTATGGACCACCGGTGTTAAGTTCACGGCATGTAATGCCTTAAGAGAAAATATTATGAAAATGATTTACAGGTGGTACATGACCCCAGTCAAGCTTGCAAAAATTTATCATTTGCCCAATAATAAATGTTGGAAATGTAATGAGGCTGAAGGTACTTTCTACCACCTTTGGTGGACCTGCCCGAAGATTAAAGCCTTTTGGGAAATGATCTACAATGAAATTAAGAAAGTCCTTAAAAGGACTTTTCCTAAGAAACCTGAGGCTTTTCTCTTGGGCATGGTAGGCCAATTGGTGCTAAAGAAGGATAGGACGTTTTTTATGTATGCTACTACAGCAGCAAGGATTCTTTTAGCAAAGTATTGGAAGACACAAGAACTACCCACGCTGGAAGAATGGCAGACGAAGGTGATCGACTACATGGGACTGGCGGAGATGACTGGCAGAATCCGTGACCAGGGGAAAGAGACAGTGGAAGAAGACTGGAAGAAATTCAAAATATATCTTAAAAATTGTTGTAAAATTGAGGAGTGTTAAGATGTCAAGGAATTGGGAAATAGAGAATTGCAGCTGTAATCAATAAGTTAAAGAAGAACTTAAAAGAAATTGAATTGAATAATTAGTTAATTGGAGGAGTTGCTGAAGAAATGTAAAACAAGGATGCAGAAAAGGGGAGGTATGGGGAAGTCCGGGAAGTAAGGTGTATGAAAATAAGAATATGAAGTTATACATGTTTATATGTTTGTATGTCTGGTATTGTGTATTGTTTGTATTTATTTTTTGTGTTTGGAAAACCAATAAAAATTTATTTTTTAAAAAAAAGGAGATAATAAATAATTTGGATCAAGCTAGAAAAACAAAATACATATATACCTAGGTATTACTGATGCTCCCTGGCCAGGGCAGGCCTCCTGGCGAGAAGTTGGGCTGTGGCACCCAAGCAGCCTGGCAGTGCCTGCTGGCCTATAGCAACGCCCTGCTCTCCATCCTCACCCCGTCCTGGGGGAAGCAGGTGCGTCCCTTGCTGGGGGAGGGGGAGCCGTTCCCCGCCACGCGCGGAGGGCGGGTCAGCTGCACCGGTTGGAGTCCCGCATGCCCCGTGGACCAGGCTGGGAGCAGGAACGAGGCGGGGCGAGGTTTCTGCAGCAGCCTCTTCCTTTTGGAAGGCGAAGCAGCGGGGCTAGATTAGAACAACGGCGGCGCTTGGCAGACGCAACTAAATTTGGGGGTGCTGGGCGGTTCTTTGCACCCCAGACGGCCCTGCATGATGTCACGTTTGTTGTAACAAGGAGGAATAGAGCTTCTTCCACACCGAGATCATCCTGCGGCCCCTGCTGCCGCCTCGCCTCGCCTCCTGGGCGGGCCTGCGCCCTGGGCGCGACCGCTGCGCTTCCCAGGGGACCCACTCCGGAGCCAACCCTGCGCTCCGCCGCGCGCCCGGCGCTGCTCTCCCTACGGCGCCTGCTCCTCGCGCGCCCCTGCTGGCCGCGCCTGCTCGGCCTGGGATCGGCGCTTCCTCCTCCCTCTCCAGTCCCGGCTGCGGGGAGGGAAGAAGCGGAGGGGGACCCGGAGGAGCCATGGCTGCCCTGGCCCAGCTGCCGCGGGGCGGCTGGAGAGCCGGGCCGGCGGGACACCTGGGGGACCCTGGCCGGCGGCAGCAGCGGCTGCTCCTGGGGCTGCTGCTGGCGGCGGCGGGGCTGGGCGCCCGGGCAGAGCCGCTGCTGGCCTCCGGAGCGCGGCCCGTGGCGCTAGAGGAGGAGATTGTGTCCGAGAAGGCGGCCGAAGCCAGCCACCGCCAGGACAGCGCCAACCTGCTCATCTTCATCCTCCTGCTCACCCTCACCATCCTCACCATCTGGCTTTTCAAGCACCGCCGCGCGCGCTTCCTGCACGAGACGGGCCTGGCCATGATCTACGGTGGGTGCAGCGCGCCGCGCTGGGTGCAGGGAGGGAGGGTGGCAGAGACCCCCTGGCGGGCACCCGGGCCACTTTCCAAGGGGGCCCGTCGGCCATTTAGCAGCAGGGATGCAGGCGTGCCGGATGTACGTATGAGCTAAATAAGCTATAAGTTAGGGGCCCCCCTCTCTTGGGGGCCCCCAAAAAAATGAAAGGAAAAAAAATCCTGGATGTACATTTCAAAAAAAATAAGATAAAAAAAGAAATAAAATAAAACCTACATACAGCAACAGCAACAATACCTACAGTATTATGTGCAAATTTCTTCAGGTACCTATTAGGTCCATAAATTACCATATCATATAGTCAACACAAAAAACAGTGGCAATTTGTTGTGGACAAAGGACAGCTGGACATAGAAAGGGCCCCATTAACTTCAGGAGCTGAGGGCTTCATCAAACCTCAATCCAGCCCTGGATGCAGCGCCGCTCCACTGTGGCCCCACGGTGCTCCACCCCCCCCCCTTTGAGGCATCTTCCCTTCCTCCCACCGCCTGCCCACATCTGTGTGTGGCACCCACACCTAGGAGAGGGGCAGGGGGAATTGCTGGGGCCATTATCAACGTGTGTGGCAGCAAGTCCACTGCCTACCTGTGCGCACACCTTTAGATTCAGGACGTGCACGGTTTCCTTCATGCATATGATGAAGTAAGCTGCTGCGTCCGAAATAAAGGTCGTGTTTATTAGCCCTCCGGGTATCGTGAAACCATTTGTTTTTCCATGTTCAGAGGCGCTCTGTGAGCATAAGCAACAGGTAAGATGGTTGTATTGCTGCTCTTTCTGGAGCTTCCCACACAAGGTGAGGCTTGGTGACAGAATGCCTGGCCGAAAGGTGCCAAGGTTGAGACAACAGAGCTTCTTTTTTTGCCTTGCACTCCCTTTCACACAAAAATAAAAAGAAACGCCTGCCTTACTACGTAGTTGCCATTCTGCTCACAGTGCAGAATCCCTGAAACTGCCACACTCTTGCCCCGGACCTGCCACCCTGTGGGCAGTTTATGGCCTTTGGACAGTGCTGCTGCGAGGTTAGGAAACAAATCCATTAGTTTGGGACTCCTGAGGACCCCACTATACCTGTGAGATGGTGATTTGGTTTCCTCACTCTGATCGCATCTTATAGCGGGATTAATAGTCACAAAGTGTTTTACAATCGGCTCCTGTTAGAGCTGACATGGGGGGAAAGTCCAGCTGGGATCACAAAGTGTTGGTCCCTAGTTCTCATGCACAGGATCACAGCTCAGAACCATAAGAAGAGCCTCCTGGATCAGAGCAAAGGCCGATCTAGCCCAGCATCCTGTTCTCAGTGACCAACCTGATGCCTGGAGGAGGGTCTAGCAGGACAGGAATGCAGCAGTGCCCTCCCCAATTGGGGTTCCCAGCAGTGGGCAGACAGGCATTCTGCCCCCGAGAGCAAGGGGGCGCCTACTGCTGATAGCCTTCTGCTCCATTACGGTAGTTTGTCCAACCCTCTTCAGGATTAGTATGCCAGGTGTGTTATTATTCTCACCAGCCATCTTGGAGGTAGCTCTCTTTTAATCCTGCTTTTTACAGGCAGGGTGGGTTTGATTTAAATCAAATCAATTTAAACCACAATTTAAATCACTAGTCAGTAAGACTTGATTTAAATCATTATTTTTTTACAGAAAGACTCATTCTTGCTGGTATATTCTTAATATTTACAACCAGAGGAAGGTTTCCTTTTTAGAACATTAAATTTTCAGAGTCATTTTGACAGTTCTATAAAAAATTACTGATTTAGTTATACTGTTAGAAATACATAGAAAGATAATTATGTAATTATGGTGAGGTTTAATAAGTTAACAGTTTATATTTGGACAACTTTTCTGCTGTACTTGATTGGAAGGAGAAAAATAATCATTTCCTTAATGACAATTTAAACAATTTACTGTATTTAACTAAAACAATAACATTATAGCATATGTATCCATGTTTGTGAACTGATGTAGTTAAACATTTTTTTAAAAAACAACACACACCTTAGACTGAGTTTTAGCACACATGAAAAACTTAAAACAAATCCTTATTTCCTGATGAATAGCCTCTGGACTATAATGTAACTTAGATAGAATACTATCTTTAGGAAGATTTTTCCTCCAGAAATATTTTATTTTTAAAATCCAATTTAAATCAAAAGAATCCTATTTAAATCAACAAAATCTGATTATATCAACAAAATCCTATTTTTTATTTTAAAAAATCATTGATTTCTCCCACCCTGCTTTATACAAATCTACGTTGCGGAACACTGTGTGCGGTTCTGGTGAAGGAGAAGGCAGAGCTGGAAAAGTTTCTGAGAAGGGCAACTGAAATGATCAGGGGATGGCAGCCATTTTCCCTATGAGGAAAATGGACATGATAAAGGCCTATGCAATTCAGTGTGGGAAAAGTGGGTAATTTTTTCTTCCCCCTCTCCTATAGGGCTAGAATCCAAGGTCATCCAATGAAGTGGATCCATTTTTTTTTTATTTTTTAAAAAATCATTGATTTTTATTCACCTTGTTTACAGGTGAGGGTGAGAGATTTGGACCTTCTGAAGGCTATCTAGTGAGTTTGTGGCCAAACAGGCATTTGAACTGAGAGTTCCCCAAATCCAATACTGTACAGTGGTACCTCGGGTTACAGACGCTTCAGGTTACAGACTCTGCTAACACAGAAATCTGCTAACCTCGGGTTAAGAACTTTGCTTCAGGATGAGAACAGAAATTGTGCTCTGGTGGCGTGGAGGCAGCAGGAGGCCCCATTAGCTAAAGTGGTACCTCTGGTTAAGAACAGTTTTAGGTCAAGAACAGACCTCCAGAACGAATTAAGTACCACTGTATTCTAGATCCTGACTGGTAACAAGCTTTCTCTTTCGAACATAGGAATCCCTTAACTTTGGCAGGGCCAGTAATGCTTGTACACATATACCATTAATCTGTTCTTCCTTCCAGTGCTGCTTTAAACATTTTTTAGAGAGCTGATGGGAAATCGACAGCACTTCCTTTGCTACCTCTCCAGTACATGACTTGTGACACTTGGTTATTTTACTAGGGTAGTCACAAGAATGGTGCTGGAAAGTTTGAGACCTTAAACTCTTTGGAGAGAAAGCTGATTGCTCAACAGAAACAAACTAAAAACTGCAAGAAGTTTAAATTACTTTGTCTTAGATTCCCAAGTGATCAGGCTAGATATATCTGAGCTTGCTTATTACGAAGTTGCTAACTGAGCAAGGAAGCAAACATAACACCTGAGTTATATATAGAGAATGGTCTGCAAACATTTGGAATGGTTGTGTGCTACATATTTTTAAGAATTGGTGCCAATGCATACCTATGTTCCTATTTTAAAAGTTTGCAATAGATTATTGTACTTTCTTTGTAATTCCAGTGCTTACCATGGGGCCCAGTGACATGAGCTTGGACATGGGAGACCCCCCAAAGTCCGGCCAGCTGCAGAGGTTTTTGGGTAGTCCACAAAAGCAAGAATCTTGTGGCACTGTGAACAATAATGCCACTACAAATCTGGTAGTTTTCAGGGTGGCCTGAGACACACTGTCTTTATCACAGAGTTGTTATGAAGCTGAAAGAACAACACTTATAAATTGATTCTTAAGAACTGTAAAGCCATTTGTAATAGTGGGAAAAATTTGCATAGATGGCCAAACCAGACCTCCAGACCAGGGACTAACCACCAGTAGCTTATATCCTTTGTTGTGTATCTTTTATATTCGTTTTATATGTTTTTATATTTCTGTAAAACTGTCTTGCGTCGTTTTTGAGAAAGATGGCTAAAGAGATTCAATAAATAATATCGTACTTAGATGTATTGGTTGCTTTCGCCTCTTGTTGGTTACCAGATCTGTTCATAAGCAGCTTCTCTTTCTGAGAAGTGAAGCACGTGCTGTTTCTCAAGTCCTGTTCCTCGTCCTCTCTCATATAGGCAAGGACTTTACCCATGTGCTCAGGGTACAGAGTACAGTGGTACCTTGATTCTCAAACTTAATCCGTTCCAGAAGTCTGTTCCAAAACCAAAGCTTTCTAAAAGCAAGATGCACTTTCCCATAGAAAGTAATTCAAAACGGATTAATCTCTTCCAGACTTTTAAAAACAACCCTAAAACAGCAATTGAACATGAATTTTACTATCTAACGAGACCATGGATCCATAAAATGAAAGCAATAAATGATGCACTGCAGTCACACAGTCAGTCAATCAATCAGTAGCTGAACTGGGTACCACACAGTAACAAAAACAAAAAAGCCATGAAAACGCAAATGAATAGCAAAAACAGACAGACCTCAGTGTAACACTCAAAACAGAAGTGTGGCACTCAAAACAGATCATGTTTGGCTTCTGAAAAAAGTTCGCAAACCAGAACACTTCCTTCCGAGTTTGCAGTGTTTGGGTTCCAAGTTGTTTGAGTATCAAGGCATTTGAGAACCTAGGTACCATTGTAAAGCAAAGATATAGGTGACAGTGTCATGGAAATTTCCTTGGCTTAGCTTTTAAGAAGCCTCTGAGTTCCAAACCATCAATTCAGATTGCCGGGGGGGGGGGGGGGCTTTCCAGAAGATCAGCACTATCAAATGGAATTCTGCTTTGTAGGGAACATTAACACCTGAGAAGCAGTGAAGAGGCTGATCTCCTGGAAGGAGGTGCCAGACCTGCGCAATGAAAAGGCTATAGGAAGAGCCGCCTAGTTCAGTATTTTCTATGCCTGCTGGTGGGCAGCATGGGTTCAGGCAGGGATGTGGAGATGCTGGGGATTGAACCAAGGAACTTTTGCATGCAATGTGTACGCTTTTGCTTCTGAGCTATGGCCCTTCCTTCCTTCTTCCTTCCTTCCTGGGAGGCAGGCAGGCTAACTGAGTGCAGGCTTCTTTTAGCAAGCTGGCCCAGCCCGGCCAATGCCTTAGGATGCTTCTTGTAGCACCAACCCCAGAAACGCTGCCCCTTCTCTGTCAGGGGACTCTAGCCACTTCCTTGCCCCCAGGCTACTCCGCTGTTGCTCAGCCTTCCTCTCTCCTCTCCCCTCTTGCTCCCTTTAGTCAATCTGTTATGCAAGATAGTTCCTAATAGCATCATGAGCATGTGTCATATGAGCATGGAGGGTTTGTCCAAGTGTTTCTCTCGCTATTTTTATGAGTCTTTATAGTAATTAAGTGCCTTGGAACTACAGACAGTCCAAGTTCCTTGTAGTCTGTACTTGCACATTTTTTAAAATGTGTTTACTTTGTGCATACATCACAGTTTCACTTGTGCACTTTACAAATGTGGCAAACAAAGCGGTTCTTTGAGTGTTACATCCTGAGATCTTGTAGCCCCAAGCCTTAAAATCTCTTGGCTGTGGCTGCAGTTCTTCTCATTCAGCGCTCCCTTTCACTTTATTTATTTACTGCCCACTAACAGGAATTCTCCCAGTAGCTTGCAGGTTAAAAAGGAAGATGCTAAACTATAAAAATAGAACATGAAACACAAAATCTAAAACGGCCTTTGTGAGCCTAGCACCCTCCTGATCAAAACTTCTCCCATCAGTCCAAAACAATACTCACCAGCCCTGGCCAGCATGGTCTTGCTTTCTGGGGCTGATGGCAGCGGTCGTCCAGAATATCTGAAGGGTACCTGGCTGGTGCGGTTTGATCGAAAACAAAATACAACCACAGCAGCAGAGTAAAACCGTTGGCAGACACTGAAAGAGCACTGAATTTACTATTCACAGGTGTCCTGGTGGGTGTCGTCCTTCGCTATGGCATCCACATTCCCAGTGATATCAACAACGTGACTTTAAGCTGCCCAGTGCAGACCAGCCCTGCAACTCTGTTGGTAAACCTCAGTGGGAAGTTCTACGAGTATACCCTGAAAGGGGAAATCAGTTCCCACGAACCTAATAACGTTCAGGATAATGAGATGCTCAGAAAGGTAAGCTGGTTTTCTCCCTTCTCTTCTTTGCCCCTCCACCCTAGAAAGGGTTTCTCAGTTCCACCTCTGGCTTTCCAAACCAGTCTGGTTGGGCTGGACTGACCAGGGCCAGTGGGCCCTGAAGCAACCAAGCAAGAAACCTGGTTTGGTAGGCTTTCTCATGTATCTCCTCCTCCTCCTCCTCCTCCTCCACCACCATCCCACTAGTCCTTCTGTGTTCTGTTATGGAAACCTGTTCATGTGCCCTGAATTCCTTTCCCATCCTTGTCTGCCCACCCTCATGCACTCCAAGGTAATTAGCTAATAGCACTATCTATTTCATCTTAAATTCCTTAGGTAGAGCCTCCAGAATGGAAGTTTCCTGTGTGTAGCCTTCTCCTTTTTTTCTCCCTGTACACACAAATCACATTTCTGTATTACCTAAAACTTTCCAGTTCCAGGTATGGTGAAAGGTGTTCCTGTTTAGAGTAATGGGAGCTTTTTCTTGTGAAATTATCCATTGTTCCCAGGTTGTAAAAGCAAAACATTTGGCTCCCTGAAGCAGTTGTGTTTGCTAACGTTTTTATTCTTGATTTAAAGTGAACTTAATTAAGCTTTATATACAGTCTTATGTAAAACTTTCCTTACCTGGATTTTTATTCGTTCTTTTTTTAAAAAAAACTTCTACAGGTGACATTCGATCCAGAAGTATTCTTCAACATCTTGCTCCCTCCAATTATATTTTATGCAGGATACAGCTTGAAAAGGGTATGTCCTTCCTCGTTTAAACCGATGCTTTAATATGTTGAAAGAAATTCTGGTGCTTTTACACCTTTGTCAGATGTGAATTCTGCTCTATCCTGTAGGGTTAGGTAATGATGCTGTCCATCTCAGCATTAATGTGTTAAAGGTGAAGGGACCCCTGACCATTAGGTACAGTCGTGGCCGACTCTGGGGTTGCGGCGCTCATCTCGCTTTACTGGCCGAAGGAGCTGGCGTACAGCTTCCGGGTCATGTGGCCAGCATGACTAAGCCGCTTCTGGCGAACCAGAGCAGCGCACGGAAACACCGTTTACCTTCCCACCGGAGCAGTACCTATTTATCTACTTGAACTTTGACGTGCTTTCGAACTGCTAGGTTGGCAGGAGCAGGGACCGAGCAACGGGAGGACACAAAGCTTCTTTTTAAAAAGCTGTAGAGCTATTATAACTGTTTGCCGGCCTAGCCCACTTATTGAGCAAAACAAGCAAATTAGCACACCTCCTGCCCCCACCTGCTGCCTCTCCCCCTTGCCTTACTTTTAATGTCTTGGCCCCTCCCCCTCCTTGGCCCTTCCTCAGAGTAAGGTGTTGCAGGAGAACTGGCCCAGGAGGATGCAGCCTGTGCTGCCATCACTTTTCTGGAATGGCAGAAAAGTTGCCACATGTCCGGAATTTGGAAGTCTATACAGTATTTTAGAAGTCTTTATTTTTGCAATTTCCCCCCAAAATAGCTCAAAAACTTATCAGTTATCTTTGAGATTTTGCTAAAAAGCTCAGCCACTTTGTTCAAAACTAAAAAAGCTCAACAGATTTGTGTCTAGATTTTGACTTTTTGAAATATGGCAACCCTATTTAACTTTCAAAGTTATTTTAAACTTTTAAGTGATGCTTCAGAAGAATTTAAAAAGTGAAGGGGAGAAGGAGAGGAGCAGCAACACAACACCCTGTCTTCTTATGCCACCCATGCCAACTTGTGCAACCTGTCCTGTGACTGAAAACAGGCTTTCTTGCACATCCAGGTATTGTTTGTAATGAATGGGACCTGCAGCAAAATGGAACATTCTTGTTCCAGTCAACCAGCCATGCTGTCCTCCACAACACACTCTTCATTCCCCCCTCACACCCCATTTTCAACTCCCCCTCCCTGTGTACCACCTTGTTAGCATTTCATGGCCAATGAGTGCACACAGTTACTGAGTGGGTTTCTCCTCCTTGTCTTTCTTCTCCTTATATTTTTAAACTTCTGGCAACCACAGGGTTCCTGTGAGTCTGCGCATGATTGATGCTGCTTTAGCTAGATGAGCCATGGTACTTATGTGAGATAATTTCTGCTGCAAGGAGTTTTTGTATTTGTATAGGCTTCCTGTGCTGTTTAGAATGTGTTACGTTGTGGGCAGTGAACCTCCATCTGAATCACAACTCCTCCGCCCCAATCAGGGCCTTGCTGGCTGGGGTTGATGGATCCTGAAATCCAGCAATGTTTGGGGGGGGGGGGCACAGGTTCCCCTCCTCAGGGGCAGGTTTTTTGTTGTTTATATGGGTGATAATCATTCCAACTTGGTTGACGTGGGAGTCCAGTGGAGCAATCTTGTGCATCTTTTGAACTCTGTTTTAAGCAATTGTTCAGACAGCTATTGAACTCAGAACAATATTTTGGAACCTTTGGAAGCTTCCAAATTCTGAATTCATTGCAAGGCTCTTTTGCCTCTCATATCTAGCCAACAACAATCTCTGGAGAACCTGCTCTTAATGAAACATTTTAGAAAAAGCAGAGGTTGGGCATACTTTCTCTCTGAAATGCTTGGCTGAAAGTTCCAGCTTCCTTAGGAGTCCGCCCCCCCCCCCCGCCCCCAAATCAGATGATAAACTGTGGTCATGTGAAACCTTTAAGATTATATAAATGAATAACTGTTTGATCATTAGTTGTGGCTGTTTGTTCTGTGTAGTAATACTTACAGTATAGACATGTGCACACAGTTGGCATTGCCTGTTTGGATTTATTGTGGCAGGAATTGGCCCGGGTGAGCCTTGTGCCCTCTCCCTTCTGCTGCTCTCTTCTGGCATTGGCCACGACAAAGAATTCAGAAGCTTTTGCATCTTCCCGACCCCATAGCTGGAGATGCTGGGTCCTTCTGCATGTAAAGCGGGTGCTCTCCCACTGAGCTCTCTTTCACCTTTCTTCTGTCAGGGAAAATCACTGTCTTAGAACGGAAGGCTTGCTTTGCTGCTTGTGATCAGGGCTCCAGCGTTCTGTTCCTGACGGTGGCAGCCAGGTGCCTCTGAGATGATCTCGGGCAGAGCCTGGAGGCAGTGGCTTTCCCTTGTTTGCTCTCAGCTATGCAGAGGGTTTTGCCACTGGAGGTTCAGCTGTTATAAGCTATTAGCTTTCAATATACCCATCCTCCACCAAGCTTTCTAACCCTTGTTAAAAAACCATCTAAACTAATGGCCTCCAACACATCTTTGGTAATGAGTTGCATAAATTAGTTATGCATGGTGTGAATAAGTGTTTTATTTATCTCTCCCTCTGTTTCTGGACTTCATGCCAGTTTGATTGGGTGACCTCAACTTCCAGTATTCTGAGAGAAGGAGGGGAAATTCCCCTAGTGGGTGCCTGTTTCACTTCCAACAGCAACATAAACAGCCCACACCAGGCCTGTGTGTCGAGGAAAATGATTTCCATCTGAACATTATCAAAGGCTATCCTTTGTAATCCAAGGCTTCACATATGTCCCCTTCTACCCAGATTCTCAGTGTGGTAGTGACTGTCGTAGGAGTATAATTTACTTGAAGGAGCCACGGGGATTATGACTTTTCTAGACAGGATGAATCCCTCGTCTTTGTAAAATCACCTACTTCTGACCAAGCAGTGTGCAAGCCTATAAGCCTGTGGAGTCCACCCCCATTCTTCTCTCCTCGCCAGTACTCGTTTATTCTTTGCCCTAAGCACTGTATTGGGGGAAAGTCAGAAGCAACGGTAGTGCCTCTAAACTATAACCAAGTAGGTTGTAAAAATAAAGATTACAGCCGGACTCTGTAAGAGCTGGCGACCCACTACATCTCCCAAGCATGTGCCACCCTCTTTATTTTATTTCTCTGCTTGGGGTTACATGGCCTGAGCTAATGGAGAGATTGCGCATTTTGGAACAAGTAATCAAGAACAAGTATTTGACCATTGGCTCTGAAGCAGTTTAATTTAATGGAAGACTCTCTTGCTTGCCTCTTAGCGGCATTTCTTTCGAAACCTGGGATCCATCTTGGCATACGCTTTCCTCGGAACGGCCATTTCCTGCTTTGTGATAGGGTGAGTGTATGCTCTGTTCCTCTAGACTTTTGAAAATAGAAGGAGAATGGATCATGATGGGTGTAGGTATTCTGAAGGGTGTGTATGGTCCCCTTTGAGCAGCTGTTTAGTATACACCAGATGTAGAAAGCATTCTTATTTCTCTATTATTATTTTTTTTGTTATTAAGCTTAGGAATCTGAAGGTGCTAAATGTTCAGTTTAAAATCAGTGTTGTTATTGTACTTGAGGAGATTATCACATTAATAATTAATTAATTATTATTAATTAATTGGGGGCCCAATTAGTGCCATTGCCTTCCGTTAAGAGTTTGGGTGTAATCCTTGACGCCTCCCTTTCCATGGAGGCGCAAGTTACAGCAACAGCCAAGGCGACATTTTTCCACCTTCACCGCATCAAGCAGTTGGTCCCTTACCTTTCCCGCCCCGACCTGGCCACAGTGATCCATGCGATGGTCATCTCCAGGCTTGACTACTGTAATTCGCTCTACGCGGGGCTGCCCTTGAAGCTGTCCCAGAAACTCCAGCGGGTGCAGAATGCTGCAGCGAGGCTCCTCACGGGGTCTCTGCCATGGGAGCATATTCACCCAGTGCTATACCAGCTGCACTGGCTCCCGGTGGAGTACAGGGTCAGATATAAGGTGCTGCTTTTGACCTTTAAAGCCCTTCACGGCCTAGGACCCTCGTACCTACGGGACCGCCTCTCCTGGTATGCCCCACAGAGGACCTTAAGGTCCATAAATAGCAACACCCTAGTGGTCCCGGGCCCTAAGGAAGTTAGATTGGCTTCAACCAGAGCCAGGGCCTTTTCAACACTGGCTCCAGCCTGGTGGAACGCTCTGCCTCATGAGACCAGGGCCCTGCAGGATCTGATTTCTTTCCGCAGGGCCTGTAAGACAGAGTTGTTCCGCCTGGCCTTTGGCTTGGAGCCTATTTGATTCCCTCCCTCTTTTTCTTTTTTCTTTTCCTTTCTCTTCCTGTGATGAGGCTACATTTTAATATTTTAATGTTCCATTATTTTAATGTTGTATTTTATTTTTGTTTTTAAGTTGTAATCATTCATCTTGTTTTTATTATTGCTTGTAAGCCGCTCTGAGCCCGGCCTTGGCTGGGGAGGGTGGGGTATAAATAAAAAAATATTATTATTATTATTATTATTCATTTATCCTGCCCTGGACCAGCATTTAACAAAATGCTGTGTTAGTGCATTTTGTAATGTTACAAGCTATGTGACTTTGCTACTCAGTTATCTATTTTTACATGGGCTGTGGTATTTTTTGTATTGTGACTTTACTGTTGTTTTCATTAATCATAGTCTAGTAATGAATTGCAATTGTTGGGAATAATTTTCTGTACAATTACAGTTTGCTGATTTTGAGAGTTGATTTTATCATGTAATCTCAGAAGCAAAATATTGAATATTACCTTACTTTATTTAAGTTTATTTTACTAGTCATATTTTTTGGTTACGACTTATTTGTATTGGACCGGATTGATGTAGGATGTGTGGCCTTTATACTGCCGTGTCTATAGCAATGTTGGAAGGCAGTATACAAATTAAATGAGAAATGAGAAAATGTTACCTGTCCATGTTCCTGTTGAATCACCAGGTCCATCATGTATGGCTGTGTTTCTCTGATGAAGGTGATGGGACAGCTTGGAGGAGATTTCTACTTTACTGACTGCCTCTTGTTCGGTGCCATTGCCTCTGCTACTGACCCAGGTGTGTTGCAGACTTGGGCCAGATGTTCCACGGAAGATATTCCTTGGATCCCAGCTCACTTTTTGTTCTTGGGTTTTTCTGTCTGCTACAAGAGTCGAGATAGTTTTTGGGTTTTTTAAATGATTTTTATTGAATTTTGCATCTTTTTAAACACAATCACAACTAACAATATAAACACAAAATAAATTCTCGATTACCCACTCACCCCAACTTCCCCCAACTTCCCTTCCTGGTTTCTTACACATTCATTTCTCCTGCTTATTATTTATTTTGTTCTTAACGTTTTAACCTCATTTTTATATTTTTGCTTTTTGTTTTGCTAAGTGTAAGTGTTTAATCAAACACTGCAAGTGAATTCATTTCCTTACATTCTTTCTGTAGATAAAAGGTTCCTAGTCTTTTTGAAAGTCTCTATTGTCCTTATCTTTCAATCTTTCAGTTAACTTCACCATTTCAGCATACACCATCAGTTTTTCTTGCCATTGTTCTTTCGCAGGTATTTCATCATTTTCCCATCTTTCGGCTAGCAAAATCCTAGTCGCTGTTGTAGCAGACATAAATAAATTCTTATTTTTTGGCAGATCTTTGCCTGAAATGCGTAATAAAAAAGCTTCTGGCCTCCCAACTAAAGTTAACTTAAACATTTTTTTATTTCATTATAAATCATTTCCCAGTAATTTTAAATTATTTTACAATTCCACCACATATGAAAAAAATACCTTCCTTTCCTTTACATTTCCAGCACTTATTGGAGCCTGTTCTATACATTTTTGTATAGGTGTGATATACATTTTCACAGGTGTGATATACCATCAATACATCATTTTCATATACAGTGGTGCCCCGCAAGACGAATGCCTCGCAAGACGAAAAACCCGCAAGACGAAAGGGTTTTCCGTCGCGGAGGCGCTTCGCAAGATGAAGTTCCCTATGGGCTTGCTTCGCAAGACGAAAACGTCTTGCGAGTCTCGCCATTTCCCCCCCGCTTTTTCCCCCTTTTTCAAAGCCGCTAATCATTTCAGTTGCCCTTCTCAGAAACTTTTCCAGCTCTGCCTTCTCCTTCACCAGAACCGCACACAGTGTTCCGCAATGTAGATTTGTATAATGGTGTTACAATAACAGAGCTCCTATTTGCAGAACCTTTCCTGATGATCTGCATTGTCATGAGGAAGGGAATTTCTGTGGTCTCCCATGCTTTTCCTGTTACCAACGTTAAAAAGGGGGAACCAAGGAAACCAGAATTTTCTGTTTATTACGTAAACATAAGACTTTCATTTCCACCTCCATGACATTGAATGGAATGTCTGTGTACTTAGAGACTTGAGCTGGGCTTACGGCAGGTGCTACACGTAAGCCAGGCAGTCCAAAGGATTTGGTTTTCTTCCCTGCCCCCTGATTTTTTATATTGATTGATAACAAATGGGATTTGGAGGGCTTTTATTGGTAACAAAGAGCACTTGAGCTCTCTCAGATTGTATGAAAAGTTTTACCGTATTTTTCGCTCCATAGGGCGGACCGGACCATAAGGCGCATCTAGTTTTTAGAGGGGGAAATCAAGAAAAAAAATATTATTCCCAGCCCCAAAGAACAAAGAAGCCAAGACAGCGAGCGGGATCCATCCTGCTGGCTGTCTTGGCTTCCTCTTTAGTCGTGTACAACCTCTCCAGCCAGGAGAGGCTGCGCGCGGCTAAAGTAGCCATAGCCGCGTGCAGCCTCTCCCTGCCGGAGGGGCTGCGCGTGGCTATCTCTGAAGCCTTTGGAGCGCAGCGTGAGTTCCCGCTGCATTCTGGAGGCTTCGGGTTCCTTTTGCTGAAGCCAGGAGAGTCTTGCTCTACCGGCTTCAGCAAAAGGAACCTGAAGCCTCCGTAACGCAGCGGGAACTCGCGCTGCGCTCCGAAGGCCTTCAGGCGGCTATCCCTAAAGCCTGGAGAGCAAGAGGGGTCGGTGCACACCGACGCCTCTCGCTCTCCAGGCTTCAGCGAAAGCAACACGAAGCCTCCGGAGCGCGGAGGGAGCGCTCCCCCTGCGCTTTGGAGGCTTCGCGTTGCTATCGCTGAAGCCAAGGAGCCTGCATTCGCTCCATAGGATGCACACACATTTCCCCTCAATTTTTGGAGGGGCAAAAGTGCATCCTATAGAGCAAAAAAGACAGTACATACCTGAGATTTGCCTCAGTCTGTGTGAGCTCTCTTTAGTGAAATTAAATTCCTTAAACATATTTGGGTGCACATATTGGCTTTGCTAAGTGATATAAACTAAGTTGAGATGCCTAAGTCTGTACTTTTTCCATGTATAAGACGCTCCCATGTATAAGACGACCCCTGTTTTTTGAGCCCAAAATCAAGAAATAATTAATTGCAACATTCTGTGTATAAGACAACCCCCAATTTTAAACTTTAAAATTTTGGGGGGAAATATAGTCTTATACGTACTTCATCACTAAAGAAAATGTACTTGAGCATGTGCTTAGGAAGAAGTGTTTCAGACAACTGGCTGTACAAGTAATGGGGAGAACTTTGGAAAATACATACATACATACATACATACATACATACATACAGTAACTGTACTTCTGAAGTAATCCTAACATAACAAATATCTTAGCAGTGGATTTATAATGTGAAGAGTCAGTCGTCTTTGAGGGAAGATCTGGCTTTTTTCATGAGAAAGAGATACCATATAGAGAACAGCCAACCTAGTATATGAGTTAGGAACTGGCATGAGTTAGAAGCCCCCAGTTCAAATTACTGGAATTCCAGGAGGCAGTATGGTGTGGCGGTGTCAAGGCCAGAACTGGAGAGATCTGGGTTCAAATTCCAACACAGCCATAAAATTCAGTGATTGACCTGGGAGCATGACCCCTCTGTTTGTCTGATCTATATCACCACATTGTTGTGAGGGTAAAATGGGAGAAAAACTAGAACAATGTACTCCTGAGCTATTGGGATATAAATGTGATGAAATAAGCCTCCACATCTACAACATGGGCAAAACAATACTGGCATCTCTACATTGAAGGGTTGCTGTCAATATGTCTGAGATAATTCATACAAAGAGCTATGAGTAGTTTACTTAGATGAATGATTATGATAAACACAGGAAATGAAAAAGGCCCAGAAGAAACCCTTATGAAATAAATTTAGAATGATTGTCTCAGGGTGCTGGTAACAATACAGAATTCTAACAAGAGCCCGTTGGTCTGAATTTCATTTTTCAACTTTCCTTTATTGTTTTCTTGGACAGTGACCGTACTTGCCATTTTCCACGAGCTTCAGGTGGATGTTGAACTGTATGCCCTTCTGTTTGGCGAAAGTGTTCTCAATGATGCCGTTGCCATTGTCCTGTCTTCGTAAGTTCTCTGTCGTCTTTCTCAAGGTTTAAGTAAGTGACATTTCACATGAGGCACTACAGATGTCACCTGGGAAGCCTCCATGCCAGCAGTAGGTGCCTCTAGGAACACACAGTGCTGGCAAGGAAGCTGTAATTGGGAGGAACTTTAAGCGGTGTAAAAAGGGAAGCTACCTCCAAACCAAGGCATTGCTTGTTTTCAAAGGAACAACCCATTGTTTGTGTCCATTATAAGGTGAGCCTTGCTGGATCAGACCAAAGTCCATCTAGTCCAGCAACCTGATCCCTATCGTGGTTGACCAGATAGCGCCAGGATGCCCACGGTCAGAGTGTGTGGTTAACATGCTGTGGCTCCCCAGTAAATGGCATTCAGAGGTGTGCTGCTTCTGGACACAGTTGGAGGCAGCAGTGCTTCTGAATGGCAGTTGCCAGAAACCACAGGAGGGAGAGGGCTCTTCTGCTCAAACCCAGCCTGCGCGCTTCCTACAGGCATATGGCTGGCCACTGTGAAACTAGATGGGCCTGATCCAGCAGGTGCTTCTTATGACCTCGGGGTTCTATATTCCTGTCAAAACTAGACACCCAAATTCCCCATTCTCACCTGCACCCCTTTGATTGGAAAGGCAGCCAAGCATTCTCATGCACCTGTGCTTAGGTTAATGACTTTCCTTGCTCATAATATTTAAGATGCTCTTCTCTGCTGTGGACTGCTTCAGTTGCCCTGATGTTGAACGAGACTTTCCTGTTGCACACAGCTGCCCTGCAATGCATCTGATATCCAGCAAGGTATGCTAATAAGAAACCTTTGTGTATGTTTGCATCCAGCTCGATTGTAGCCTACCAACCAGCAGGGGACAACAGCCACACTTTTGATTTAACGGCAATGTTCAAGTCCATTGGGATTTTCCTGGGGATCTTCAGCGGATCATTTGCCATGGGAGCAGCTACTGGAGTCGTGACTGCTTTGATATCCTTTAAGTTCAATGAGTGTTACTTGGCTTTCTAACTGCTTCATGTCCCTGCAACTTCGAACCATTTTTCTTCAGCATAATACAAGGGTGTGTAACTTTGGGAGGTGTAGTTCTAAATGCTTGTTAACAGCTTGGCTGAAAGATGCAAAAAGAACAACTCCACAGATAACTAAATGCGGAGAATGGTATGTGAAACTCTGGGATATTTTATGTGAACCAGCCAGAGACCTTCGGGTATAGGGCGGTATAGAAATAATAATAATAATAATAGTGCCTGAAATAAATTAGCCTGGGTGCTGCAGGTGAAACAGGCAGCACAAAATGGCATTCTGCTTAGAAAGGAATGGGCTTGCTTCCTCTAATCCTGGAATGGAAGATAAGATTATATACTAAGAGCTCTGTTTCCATTACAGTGGTACCTCAGGTTACATACGCTTCAGGTTACAGACTCCACTAACCCAGAAATAGTACCTCGGGTTAAGAACTTTGCTTCAGGATGAGAACAGAAATCGCACAGCAACGGCAGCAGGAGGCCCCATTAGATAAAGTGGTGCTTCTGGTTAAGAACAGTTTCAGGTTAAGAACGGACCTCCAAAACGAATTAAGTACTTAACCCGAGTTACCACTGTATTATAGATATTGGTGGGGGAGGTAGTACATAAGCAAACACATGTTTGTATCCTTTTTTGTGTAACTTGAATTTTGGTGCCATTTTGAATCAAGATGGCAGACTGAAATGTGACTTTGCCCGCGTTTTGTCATAGATCCAGCCACCTTCTGTGATATTGTCACCAAACTTGACACAAGGCTTTCTGAGGTGGGGATGGGGGTCTATGTTGAAGTTCAGGTGCCAGGCACCAATTTGGATCAAGATGGCAAACAAACTTGGTTTTGGTGTGACACTTCCCATTTTTTGGGCATAGGCTTGGCTGGCTCTTGAGATAAAACTCAGTCCCAAACCTCGTACAAGGGTTCCTGACAAGGGGATGGCAGACTTTGTCACCATTAGGATCCTGGACACCATTATGAATCAAGATGGCAGACCAGAACATCACTTGGCACATTTCTTGACATATGTTTGGCTTCCTCTTAAGATATCATCACCAAACTCAGCACAAGGGTTCTTAAGGAGGTGGTGGTGGTCTTTGTCAATATTTGGACTCCAGGAGCCATTTTGAACGAAGCTGGTTTATTGAAATGGGACTTAGGTGTAACCACTTGATTTTTGGTGTGTTGGGTCCAAACTCAGAAATTACACTATCAGTTTGGGGGGGGGGAGGATTTTTTTTTTTTGTTATTTCTAAAAGATACTGATATTTCCTGCTAGCAAAGAATGAATCAGCAAGGTAACAGCGCAAATAATCAACATGCATATATGACTGTCCTTTTGGGCCTGAATAATCAAATTGGGAGATTACTGCTTCTTGCTCTATTTTCCCCTGCTGAATATTTTCATCCACAGAGGAGCCCACCTGTGTCCTTTCCTTAACCCCTCTGTCACGTCACCAAATTCACCAAACTCCGTGAGTTCCAGCTGCTGGAAACAGGCTTGTTTTTCCTGATGTCTTGGAGCACCTTTCTATTGGCTGAAGCTTGTGGCTTTACAGGTAAGCTGTGGCCTGTCTGCTTGTCTGGGTGTGTTGGATTGCTTGATGGGATGGATAACAGTTACAGAGTCTTAGAATCGGAACTGTGTAGAGTTGGAAGGGACCCCAAGGATCATCTAGTCCAACCCCCTGCAATGCAGAAATCTCAGCTAGATCATCCCTGACAGATGGCCATCCCTCTGCTTTAAAACATCCAAGGAAGGAGAGCCCACCACCTCCCAAGGGAGACTGTTCCACTGTTGAACAGATCGTACTGTCAGAAGGGTCTTCCTGATGTTTAGTCAGAATCTCCTTTTTTGTAACTTGAAGCCATGGGTTTGAGTCCTACCTTCTGGAACAGGAGAAGACAAGCTTGCTCCGTCTTCCATGGGACAGCCCTCAATATATCTGAAGATGGCTCTCATATCTCTTCTGAGTCTCCTCCAGGCTAAACATACCCAACTCCTTCAACCATTCCTCATAAGGCTCAGTTTCCAGACCCTGGATCATCTTGGTTGCCCTCCTCTGCACACCTTCCGGTTTGTCAATATTCTTCTTAAATAGTCAGATAGATGATCCCCTTGTTGTCAGTGAGGCAACTGAGGAATTTGTTGGACCTTATATTCCTGGCAGAGTTTGAGTTCTATCAGATATTGAGGGAGCTGAAGTCTCCGATTACTATTATATATCTCCTTTTTCTAACATATTTGGTGTGGCACAGAACCCTGCAGTGAAACAGGTGTATCCTCCCCCATCCCCTTAAACCAGCAATCAGACTCGAAGTAAGACAGCTTCTTGAGTTCCTGTGGTTCTGCGAACCTAGACCTGCCCAGTCAACTGTTTCTGTGCCATTCTGTATGGGAAAGAAGCTCTGTCCAACAGAACAGCCCATGTTTGCAGTACTGATTGAAACACATCTCAGTTCCATGTACTTTGTGACAGTTTTAATGTAATTCTCTGCCTCCAGGTGTTGTAGCTGTGCTGTTTTGTGGCATCACTCAGGCCCATTATACTTATAACAACTTGTCCACCGAGTCCCAGCACAGAACTAAACAGGTGAGTCCTCTGTCCCAGTGGTGACCTGTGGGCCCCGCTGCCCCTTCATCATCCAAATTCATTCTCCTTAATATGTTTTAAATGTTCTCTCCTCCGCACCAGCCATTTTCATTAACCCATCAAAACACCAGACATCTAGTAGTTTGGGGAGGGGCTTATGGGTGCCTTTTCAGGTTTTTCTTTTTTAAATTATACTTGAAAACTTCTGTACTGTTCTAACATGCATCACTGCAATTCTTTTTAGTTTTTTGGTTGTGCTGACTGTGTATTGGGCATGGGATGGTTTACAGCATGGGTAGGCAAACAAAGGCCTGGGGGCCGGATCCAGCCCAATCGCCTTCTAAATCCAACCCCTGGACGGTCCGGAAATCAGCGTGTTTTTACATGAGTAGAATGTGTCCTTTTATTTAAAATGCACCTCTGGGTCATTTGTGGGGCATAGGAATTTGTTCATTTCTCCCTCCCACAAGGTCTGAGGGACAGTGGACCGGCCCCCCGCTGAAAAAGTTTGCTGACCCCTGGCTTACAGTAATCACAAACTATTGTGCCAGTAATCATAAGCTCACCTTTTTTTGCAATGTGTGCCCAAAGAAATTCGCTGCCCAGACATTTCACTTATGGACATACTTGGTGTTTTCTATACTATCTTGACATGTGTCACAGCTATGATTGATATTCCTTCTCTCTCCCTTGTGTGTGTGTGTGTTTTGCTTTAGTTGTTTGAGCTCCTCAATTTCTTGGCTGAAAACTTCATCTTCTCCTACATGGGCCTTACGCTGTTCACCTTCCAGAATCATGTGTTTAATCCAACGTTTGTAGTGGGAGCTTTTGTATCCTTTTATTCCAAAAGAGTAGAAGTTGCCTTTTGCCACCTCCCCAATCAACAGATATGAAATGGGGAGAAACCTCAGATCTAAATAACAACAGCATACGTTGCATAGGATAACAGAATGGAAAAGAAAGGGGAAAGAGAGGAGGTGGGGACAGAGGCCCGCAGCCTGGGAGCATATCATTCCACCTTAAGCAAGAAATGATCAGTGTTTACGGCTGTTGAGTGCTGCAAATTTTTGCAGCAGTTGTCAGAGGTCATTTCATAGGTGTATGTCACAAACTCTAGCACTTTCAACCGAACCTTTAGATTCCAGAGGCAAAGCTTGTGAAGAAGGTTTGGAGGCAGTGGGAAAGAGACGTACAAGGGGGCACAGTGTGGCCTGCCCTGGAGAAAGGGACAAAAACGTCTGAGCTCCAGCCAAGCTGTACCCAGTGACCTTAAGTTGCTGGAGAGCAGATTTTGGATGAACACGAGGAAAAACTTGTTAATGGTCAGAGCAGATTGAGAACAGAGCCAGGGCCCTAGGGAGAGTGGGCAAGAGGAAGGAGAGGAAGGTACAGGGGAGGGAGGGAGGGAAGGAAGGAAGGAAATATTTGAGAGGATAAAGCAGCAGAGAGGAAAAGGTGGGGCCAAGAGTGGGGAAAGAGTGTGGGTTGAGGAGGGAAGGGGAAAGGCTCCCATTGGTACCCTGTGCCCAAGGTCTCCCCTAGAAGCCTCGAACTGGCCCTGATTTTGAACAGCTGGAGCCTTGTTGGCTCAAGGATGGGGATAATCATATACAGGGATAGTCTCTGTGTAGGAATACATGTGTACAGTTTAATGCAGGGATGTGTGACCTGTGGCACTCCAGTCATGGCTGGGCGCTAACCCCCACCCTTCCCGGCCACTGACCATGCTGCCTGGGGCTGACAGGCATCCAATAACATCTGGAGGGTCACAGATGTTCCTACATAGAGGAACCTATTGGGCTTGTTTTGGTCCTCTTTGAATCTGTGGTTAGGACAGGTGCTGTGTGTGCCTGGTATATGGTAAATGCATTCATAAGAAACCTCTCATCAATGCATAACATACTTCTGATTTCTGGTGCACACATGTCTGTCCTTTGTAGAGATGACCTCCATTTAGGGGGAATGTAAGATATGGTAGCCCAGGGGTGGCTCTCCCATTTTGCCACTTGAGGTGGGACAGGAATGCCGAAAAACAGCAGTGGGGGCCCCATAGACCTGCCTCCAGGATGGGGGGGCTTCTTCCACCTGAAACAGCAGCCTCACCCTTCCTAATGGCTGGGCTGACTGTGGTAGCCTTTAGATACCATGGCTAGAATCCAAAAAAACATGGCTAGCTCTGTGCACTAATAGGAATATTTAAGTCCAATCCTTTCCTCAGAAGTAAGCTGTGTTTTCTTCACTGGAACCGTCTGCCTAGTGAGTATGAGTCTTAGATGCTCATTTCTCAAAAGGCCTTCCATGTACCCTTGTGCCAGACATGGGTGCTTTTAATACCCAGACTTTTAAAAGCAGCTTGAGCTGTAATAAGAATGGTTTCCCTGTGGCACAGAGCGCTTGATGGAAGATCTGGGCATTCTGTCAAGAATTCAGCATGCTTAAAGCTGTCTGGGGAAAGTCTTGGCTCAGTGGTGCAACACCTGCTCGGCATGCAGAAGGGTCCCTGGTTCAATTCCTTGCATCCCTCGGTAGGGCTGGGAGAAATCCAGTGCCTGAATTCCTGGAGGGCGGCTGCTGGTAGGCAACATAACCTAGTGGCCTGATAAAAGGCAGTTTCCTATGTTCCTGTACTCAGAAGTGGTCCAGTCAATGTTAGGTGGTATGGCTGGGATCTCTGAACAGATTGCTTCTCAGCAGTCAGGGTTTTTTTTGCAGTTTTGAAATTGCTAGTTTGGGATTGCAGGAGGTACTCATGCTCTCTGAAGGCCACTGGTTCTCCTTCTTGGCATGATTATTTGTTATTTGTCACTGTTGGGATAAAAACTCTTCTTTCTTGTAGGAACATTGGTAACCCACCATTTTTAGGGTTAAACGTAAACTTTAGTGTCAGCTATTGCATGATGCATTCTAATTTTCGCAAACCTGTCAACAAGGGGGGAAAATCCTTAACATGTGCCCAAATCTAGCTGGCTGTATTCCTGGGGAGAGCTGCAAACATTTACCCTCTCTCTTTCCTGCTTAATTTGGGGAGAAGAAACAAGATCGGGACAAATTTCCAACATATGATGATGTTTGCTGGTGAGTAATCACCTCTTGGGGTGTTTCAAATCCATCCCTTCATAGATTATTTTCATAAGTACAAAGTCTGCTTGACAAAGGATGGAACCTTTAGAGATGCCTTAGATTTTATCTTAGGGCAGTGATTGCCCTGCCTGATCAAAGGTCAGCCTCTGGTCCCCCAGGCCAGCCAGATGCCTCCAGGAAGCTCCAAGCGGGAAATGTCTGCAAAGAAGACAATTACTGGCTGTCATCAGAACCAAGATTGGGAGAATGTGCGTGAAAATGTTTTGAATACATGCTTAGTATTAATAGCAACCATTTTTGCTTCTTGCAGTGATTCAGCCATTTTTGCTTATTTTGTTTATACTTGCCCTTTCTCTTCCCTGCCCAGGCTTGCTTTCAACCAAAAATAAAAATAATACAAAAACATCAAAATGTGAAAGCAAAGTACAATTGACAACAGGGTGGATTTGATTTAAATCAAATTGATTTACCGTATTTTTTGCTCTATAGGACGCACTTTTTCCCCTCCAAAAATTAAGGGGAAATGTGTGTGCGTCCTATAGAGTGAATGCAGGCTAAGCCCAAAGCCAGAACAGGGAGATGGAGCGCTGCGGAGCTCCAAAGGCTTCAGGGATCTTTGAGGCTGGCGGTGGGGGAAGCAGTGCTTCCCCCCACCGCCAGCCCCACAAGCTCGGGGAGCAGCGGGAAGGCGGCCTTCGCGCTGCTCCTCGACCTGGTCTTTGAGGCTGGCTTCCCCCCACCGCCAGCCCCAAAGAGCAGGTCAAAAGGAACCTGAAGCCTCCGGAGCCCAGCGGGAACCCGCCCCCCACGCTCCAGAGCCTTTGGGTTGCCTTCACTGAAGCCTGGAGAGCGAGAGGGGTCAGTGCGCACCGACCCCTCTCGCTCTCCAGGCTTCCAAGGTAGCCGCCTGAAGCCTCCAGAGCGCAGTGGGAACTCCCCCCACGCTCCAGAGGCTTTGGGTGAATGCACCTTGAACGCACCTTGTTTTAGAGGGGGAGAACAAGAAAAAAACATTTTTCCACTGTTCTCCCCCTCCTATGGTCCGGTGCGTCTTATAGAGCAAGAAATACAGTAAATCACGATTTAAATCACTAGTCAGTAAGACTTGATTTAAATCACTTTTTACAGAAAGACTCATTCTTGCAGGTATAATCTTAATAATGACAACCAGATGAAGGTTTCATTTTTGGAATAATAAATTTTCAGAGTAGTTTTTGCAGTTATATCAAAAATTACTGGTTTGGTTATACTATTAGAAATACATAGACAGATAATTATGAAATTATTGTGAGGTTTAATAAGTTAACTGTTTATATTTGGACAACCTTTCTGCTGTACTTGATTGGAAGGAGAAAAATAATCATTTCCATAGTAACAATTTAAGCAATTTATTTAACTAAAACAATAACATGCTAGCAAATGTATCTATGTTTGTTAACTGATGTGGTTAAATGGTTTTTTTAAAAAAAAACTTAGACTGAGTTTTAGCACACATGAAAAAACAAATCCTTATTTCCTGATGAATAGCCTTTGGACTAGAATGTAACTTAAAGAGAAAATCTTTAGAAAGGTTTTTTCTCCAAAAGCATTTTATTTAAAAATTCTGATATAAATCAATAAAAATTCTGATTAAAAAATCCTATTTAAATTTTTTAAAATCTTTTTTTTTTAAATAAACCATTGATTTTTAGCCACCCTGATTGACAAATTTACAGTTAAAGTACAAATATATGGCCTCACCATCGGCTATGGGGAGGACTGCAGGGCCTGCTCCCTTCCAGGGCCTTTTCCAACTGGCCCAGGGGGCGTGGCCCAGGCCCTCATTTGGAACAAACTTTTGGGGAAGTGCAGGAAGTTGTTCTGCTATTGCTTCCCTGTTCCAAGTGGTTAATGTGTTTTAAAATGTCCTCAAGCAGTCAGTAGCATTTTAAATTTTTCTTTCTTTTTCTCCTTTTTCCCTTTGTTGGGGGTGGGCGGGTGGGATGGATATCTAGTTGGGGATTAATTTTATTATAACTGTTCTGTTTTTGTTTTTTGTTGTTTTATTGGTTGCTGTATAGTTTGCGTTTTGTTTTTAAGGGGCGGGATCAGGGCTGCCGGGGAGTGGGGCCCCAGCCAACACGATGGCTGGGGCAAGTTCCACAGGGGGGGAAGCACTGGGACATCTGATCTCGGTGATCATGGGCAGGAGGAGGAGGAGTTACGCTAAGACCAGACCATGTCATTACCGAGGAGGCAGGTTTAGTCATTGTTTGAGGACTATCCCTGCCTCCGGTCTGTCTGGTCTTGACCGGATGGATACTGGAATCAACAAGGGAAACCCACATGACCTGAAGGTGTTGCTGTGTAGTTATAGGTCAATGATTCATAAGACCACTGCCATCCATGGCTTGATCGTGGATGGAGGACTTGACCTGGCATGCATGACAGAGACTTGGTTGGATGAAGCAGATGGGCCTGTTCTTGCCGCTGCTTGTCCACCAGGTTTCTCTTACGCACAGCAACCCAGGCCTTGTGGGCGGGAAGGGGGGGTTGCAGTGATTTTTAGGAAGTCACTAGTTTGCACCAGGCGTCATATTGGGAAGACCCACTTCTCTGAGTGCATGTTCTGGAAGTTGGGAAATAGGGGCAGTACAGGATTCCTTTTGGTGTACCGACCTCCCCGCTGCACCAAGGATTCCCTGCTTGAGCTGCTTCAGGTCATGGCGGATGTTCTCCTAGAGACACCTAGTTTGGTTGTCCTGGGGGATTTTAACATCCATGCCGACACGACCTTACAAGGGGCCGCTCGGGACTTCGTGGAAAGCATGGCCTCCATGGAGCTGTCCCTGAATATGTTTGGCCCAACTCATAGTCATGGACATGCCTTAGACCTGGTGTTCACCTCTAGTGACGTGGGTGATCTGACACTAAGTAAAAGTGAAAAAAAAGAAGTGCCATGGCCAGGTCACTTCCTGGTGCAACTGGACTTCTCTGCGACCCTTCCCCTCTGCAGGGAGGTGGGACCAATTTGCATGGTCCGCCCCCGCCACTTAATGGATCCAATTGGCTTCCAGAGAGTGGTAGGGGATGTTTTATCCCAAGCTGATGGCCTTTCAGCTGATTCCCTGGTGGCCTGCTGGAATGCGGAGTTAACCAGGGCTATTGACTCTCTGGCTCCGCCGCGCCCTCTCCAATTGCATGGAACCTGGACAGCCCCGTGGTTTTCTTCAGAGCTGAGGGCAATGAAACAATCGCTGAGACGGCTAGAGCGTCGGTGGCAGAAAACTCATTCCGAATCTAAACGGACGTGGGTTAAAGCTCAATGTCGAGCCTACCAAGTGGCAATAGCGATGGCGAAGAAGTCTTTCTTCACCGCCTCTATTGCATTTGCAGAAAATAATAGCAGGAGACTCTTTCAGGTGGTCCGCAATTTAACGGAACCACCTTTACCACTGGGGCCTTGTAAAGACCCCAAGATCTCCTGCAACGATTTTGCAAAGTTTTTTGCAGATAAAGTCACTCATATTCGGAAGGAGGTAGACACCACCGTGGGAGCAGGGTTGGGGCGGGAGAGTGCTAGAGCTCTGTCTGGTCAAGTTGCATGGGATCAATTTCAATCCGTTACCCCCGAGGATGTGGACAGGCTGCTTGGACGCGTGAAACCAACTACCTGTCTCCTTGATCCTTGCCCATCCTGGCTAATAAAAGCAAGCCGGGAAGGGCTGGGTGATGGGCTCTGCGGAGTGGTGAATGCTTCCCTCTGTGAGGGAACATTCCCAGATCCGCTGAAAGAGGCGGTCATTAAACCGCTTCTTGTAAAAACCATCTTTAGATGCGGCCAGTATGGCCAACTATCGCCCAGTCTCAAATCTTCCATTCTTGGGCAAGGTGATTGAGCAGGTGGTTGCTGAACAACTCCAGGCACGCCTGGAGGATGTGGACCATTTGGATCCCTTCCAATCGGGATTCAGGCCTCATCATGGGACTGAAACTGCCTTGGTCGCGCTGGTTGATGATCTCCGGCGGGCTAGGGACAAAGGTGAGAGATGTTTCCTAGTTCTGCTGGATCTCTCAGTGGCCTTTGATACAATTGACCATAACATCCTTCTGGACCGTCTAGAGGGGCTGCGAGCTGGGGGCACTGTCATACAGACGTTCTGCTCCTTTCTCCTGGACTGTGTCCAGAAAGTGGTGTTGAGGGGATGAGTGTTCAGACCCCTGGGCTCTCACTTGTGGGGTGCCTCAGGGTTCTGTCCTCTCCCCCATGCTTTTTAACATCTATATGAAACCGCTGGGAGAGATCATCAGGGGGTTTGGACTGGGTGTCCATCAGTATGCAGATGATACCCAGCTCTACCTCTCTTTCAAATCAGAACCAGTGAAGGCGGTGAAGGTCCTGTGTGAGTGCCTGTAGGCAGTTGGAGGATGGATGGTGGCTAATGGATTGAGGTTGAATCCTGACAAGACAGAAGTACTGTTTTTGGGGAACGGGGCGGGCTGGTGTGGAGGACTCCCTGGTCCTGAATGAGGTAACTGCGCCCCTGAAGGACCAGATGCGCAGCCTGGGAGTCATTTTGGACTCACAGCTGTCGATGGAGGCGCAGGTCAATTCTGTATGCAGGGCAGCTGTCTACCAGCTCCACCTGGTACGCAGGCTGAGACCCTCCCTGCCCATGGACTGTCTCGCCAGAGTGGTGCATGCTCTAGCTATCTCCCACTTGGACTACTGCAATGCGCTCTACGTGGGGCTATCTTTGAAGGTGACCGGGAAACTACAACTAATCCAGAATGCCGCAGCTAGACTGGTGACTGGGAGCGGCCACCGAGACCACATAACACCAGTCTTGAAAGACCTACATTGGCTCCCAGTACGTTTCCGAGCACAATTCAAAGTGTTGGTGCTGACCTTTAAAGCCCTAAACGGCCTCGGTCCTGTATACCTGAAGGAGCGTCTCCACCCCCATCGTTCAGCCCAGACACTGAGATCCAGCGCCGAGGGCCTTCTGGCGGTTCCCTCATTGCAATAAGCAAAGCTACAGGGAACCAGGCAGAGGGCCTTCTCGGTAGTGGCGCCCGCCCTGTGGAACACCCTCCCACCAGATGTCAAAGAGATAAACAACTACCTGACATTCAGAAGACATCTTAAGGCAGCCCTGTTCAGGAAAGTTTTCAATGTGTGACAGCTTAGTGTATTTTTGGTCTTTGTGGAAGCTGCCCAGAGTGGCTGGAGAAACCCAGCCAGATGGGCGGGGTACAAATAATAAATTATTATTATTATTATTATTATTATTATTATTATTATTACCACCACTACTACATAATGAAGGCCTGCTGGAACAAGTGAGCTTTTAATTGCTGACTGAATGCAGACCAAGTGAGAGAGAGCCAGATCTCGACAGGGAGGGCGTTTCATAGCAAAGGTGGTGTGCCACTGAGAAGGCCCTGTTGTCTATAGTAGCCCTACTGGGCTATGCTCAACGAGGGAACCTTCAGCAGGGCCTTTCTTGCAGGTGTCAAAACCTGGCTTGGGTAGTGCTGCAGAAGGCACTCCTTCAAACACTTGGGTCCTAAGCTGTTTGGACTTGGTTTGTTGGTACCTATACTTTGAACTGGGCCTGGTTGCTCTCCTGCAATGATTTCAAATTCAGTGTAAAATGATCTCATCTCACTGCAAGAGAGCAGCATTATGCGCTAGCTGCAAATACTGGATCATCTTCAAGGGAAGCCAAACACTACAACAGTCTAACTCAGAGGTTGTTCCTAGAATGGCCATAGCTGGAGAAACAGCTGTAGCTCCGCATAGGTTGCATCCTTGTCACATGGGCCTGCAATAATAATATATAATAATAATTTATTATTTATACCCTGCCCATCTGGCTGTGTTTCCCCAGCCACTCTGGGCGGCTCCCAATTGAATATTAAAAACACAATACAGCAAGAAACATGAAAAACTTCCCTAAACAGGGCTGCCTTCAGATGTCTTTTGAAAGTAGGATAGTTGCTTATCAACATCTGGTGGGAGGGCGTTCCACAGGGCGGGCACCACCACCGAGAAGGCCCCCTGCCTGCTTCCCTGTAACCTCGCTTCTTGCAGGAGAGGGACCCTGGCGTGGAGACGCTCCTTCAGGTCTACTGGGCCAAGGCCGTTGAGGGCTTTCAAGGTCAGCACCAACACTTTGAATTGTACTCAGACATGCAATGGCAGCTTGGAATCTAGGAAGTCCCCCCCCCCCCGACTCCAGGCATCTCCCTTCTAGAAGATTGCCAAAACAAGCTGTCTTACCTAATTTTTGGACCTGAGAAGCACCAGCCAACAGATAATGCACCTTTTTAAAATTAATAATTTTTATTAAATTTTCAAATTGTACATTTCAAATTAAACATCTTTTATTACACCATACATTCACTGACTTCCTCCCCTCCCCTTCCAGGATTCATTTATCTTATCCAACATTCCTACATATTCTAATATATCTATCTAATTTAATTTTCCTATCTTACATCAGTTTGGAATATGTTATATTGTTGAGTTACTTTAATACTGCCAGCGTTTTTAACGGTGCACAATTATTTTCATTATGCTCAACAAAAAGATACCACTCCTTTTTAAATACCTGTTCTTCTTGTTCTCTTATTCTACTTGTTAGACCTGCTAATTCTGCATATTCTGTCATCTTCATTTGCCAATTCTCTTTCTTTTGTGTCAATCAAAATTTTGTGTTTAATTCGTGGCTCCCCCACCCCGACAAATTTAGAAATACCCCTTTTCCATTCCTTGAGGCAACTTGGTTTGTCAATAATCGGTTGAAATAAAAGCAGCATTTTGGGGAGCACATTCATTTTGATAGCTGAAATTCTCCCTAGTAGGGAAAGTTTAATCCTTCCCCAAATTTCTACTCTTTTTAAATCTCTTTCCATAGTTTAATGTAGTTATCTTGAAATAAGTCAAGATTCCTCACCGTCAACCAGACACCTAGATATTTTCAGGCCACTCTCCATTTCCACAGGCAAAGCATCTTATCTGGGTCCAGCTTCAGTTTTATTAGCCATCCTCCATCCCTGCTTTCAGGCACCCAAACAGTAATTGTACAGCTGTTCCTGATGCAGATGAAACGGAGAGAGAGGATTTTGCCCTGTCCCCTATATTTATATTTATCTTTGTATTTATCTGTATTTATCTTTGTACTTGCTGTGTTTTTGAAAGTGCAAAAATACGACACTTGATCTTAGCCAAAAGGCCGAGAATCGATGAAAGTGCAAAAATACGAGCTCCTGCCATTTGATTGGTGTCCCTGCACTTAACATGAAGGTGGCATCATTCCAGTGGCAGAGGCTTAAAAGATGATCTAAGCGTCTCTTAAGGATTGGCCTTAAGGCAGGGTGGAATATGATGCATGAAGGAGAAGGTGTTAATTAAGAGTCCTAGCATGGACCAGGATCCAGGCCCTTGTGCAACTTGCTCTGGACGTCTTTCTCTCATGCCTCTGCAGAAGTACAGCGTAATCTCTTCACACACAGGTTACTTGTGCAAATACAACTGCACACACTTTGCTCTTGCAGGAGCAGCCTTCCCACCTTAGGGGAGGATGGCAGGCAGGCAGGCAGAGCGAGAAGAAACCCCACCTGTCTGCTGCTTCTACCTGCCTCTCTCCCTGTCTGCCTCTGCTCCCTCCCGCATCTGAAGAAGTTGTGGTTTCTTCTTTCTCTGGCAGTGGTGGCACAGGGAGGTCCTCCATGCAGGCTTTCCAAGCAGCCTTTGGCTTTGAGCAATGTGGTGTATGGGCACTACCTCTGGAAGAGAGCCCTTGCCAATAATAATAATAATTATTTATTTCTTCCCCAGGCACTCTGGGCAGCTCCCAACAAAATATTAAAATACAGTAGTCCATCAAACTTTAAAAGCTTCCCTAAACAGGGCTTCCTTCAGATGTCTTCTAAATGTCAGATAGTTGTTTATTTCCTTGACATCTGCTGGGAGGGCGTTCCACAGGGCGGGCGGCACCACCAAGAAAGCCCTCAGCCTGGATCCCTGTAACCTCGCTTCTCGCAGGGAGGGAACAGCCAGAAGGCCCTTGGGAAAGGAACCCCAGCATCTGAGATGGAGATGCTCCTTCAGGTCTACTGGGCCAAGGCTGTTTAGGGCTATCAAGGTCAGCACCAACACTTTGAATTGTGCCTGGAAACATCCTGAGAGCCAATGTAGGTCTTTGAAGACCAGTATTATGTGGTCTCAGCGGTCCCAGTCACCAGTATGGCTGCCATATTCTGGATTAGTTGTAGTTTCTGGGTCACCTTCAAAGGGAGCCCCACGCAGAGCGTATGGCAGTAGTCTAAGCGGGAGATAACCAGAGCATGCACCAGTCTGACCAGACAGTCGGCGGGCAGGGAGGGTCTCCACCTGTGTACCAGCTGAAGCTGGGAGACAGCTGCCCTGTGATCATACTGTAGATTCTGGTCCACAAAAGCTTATGCCGTAATAACTGTGTTCATCTCGAAGTCACTACAAGATTCATTTTTGCTGGAAGTTGCAGCTTGGAACAGTAGCACTCCACTCCTGCAACACCACGTGAAATGGAAGAGAGTTTCTGGGAGAAGTGGGTTGGGGTTTGCACTCGAAAGGTGAAAAGTAGAAAAGCTTGTTTGTGTGTGTGTGTGCGTGTGTGTGCGTGCGCGCGCACACACACACACGCATACACTCACGTGTGCCCACACGTTCTTGCATGTACATACTGCATTCAGACTCCGGGACAGAAATGGAATAGGCCACACAAGGTTTGATGAGCCTTTCTTCCCAGGCCTCCGTGGAGCCATGGCTTTTGCACTGGCCATTCGGGACACAGCCACCTATGCGCGGCAGATGATGTTCAGTACAACTCTTCTCATCGTCTTCTTTACCGTCTGGGTGTTTGGAGGTGGCACCACTCCTATGCTGTCGTGCCTTCATATCAGGTGAGTGTCGGTTCGAGTCTTGTGCTGTTGCCTTAGCTAAGGAATCTTGCTGTGATCTGTACAATGTATCGTGTATGGTGGGGATGTGATAAAATCAAAAAGTTCTGGAGTAATATTTATGAAGAATTTAAAAATATGTGTAAAATAACATTTGAGAAAAGGCCAAAGTTCCTTCTAGGTATAGTGACAAAAGACATCCCCAATGATAAGAAAAAAATATTCCTATACACGACGGCTGCCACTAGGGTTTTACTGGCAAAAAACCTGAAGGGAGATATAGTCCCATCAGTAGCAGATTGGCAAATTAAATTTTCTGAATTTATTGAATTGGGCAAAATGATGGCAGCAATCAGATTACAATTTAATCAAAAACTAAGGAAAGAATGGGAATGTGTAGAGGAGTATAAGGCAAAACATTGTTCCAAAAGAAACTTACTGATATGCTTAGACTGATGTTCGCAAAGTTAGGATAACAGTTGGAAAAGATTCTACGGGTTTTTATATAAAGCATATTGCTTTAACACAATATTAAAATAATATTAAATTAACTAAATAATGCTCAGCATGGGGGGAGGGAAGTCACAGGGATATAAAGGGGGGAAACATACAGTGATGCATGGACTCTCGGGTTACGGCAGGAATCCATTCCAGAGGCCCCGCCACAACCTGAAAATGACGCACATCAAAGCGCTGCATCTGCGCATGCACGATTTAGCGCTTCTGCGCATGCACAAGTGGCGAACCCAGAAGTAACCCGTTCCAGTACTTCCGGGTTTGCTGCGGATGTTTGCTGAAGCGGATGCAAGCGGAGGCAGACGCAGAATGAGGTTTGACTGTATATGTATGTAAGAAACAGAATGTAAGAAACGTTAAGAGATGTTCTTTTTGTTGAATGTAATACTGCAAGAAATAAATTAAAAAAGGGGAAAGGGGAAAAAAGGAAACCTGCTGTGCAGCTTGTCATCCAGGTGGTTCAATTATCACAGGCTTGAGCAGGTAAATGCCCCGCTCACTTTCCCTACCTCCCACCCATCAAACCTCTACTGCCCTCAGATTTCTATGGGTCCCTGAGGCCTCTAAGCATGAGTTCTTATGTTGCTTTTCAATTATTTCATTTACAGCTTTTTCCTTCCCTTTTGGGGGGATACCTGGTGAGATCTCATGTGTGGAGAAACCCTTACCTTGTCTGTAGGTGGCCCCATTTTGCTGCCCAAGCGCTGGGTGCTCACATTTGTTTTGGAAGAAGTAATAAATGCCACAATTCATTAATAAGTGGCATAACAAATAGTTGCAGTTTATTAAAATGGTGCTGAGATTCCAGATGAATAACTTTTTTCACACTTGTAACAGTGTTTATAGCCAGGTGGGTCACATAGAACAAGAAATCTAGACTAGAACGAGAAATCTAGAACAGATAAAATGGTTCTTACTGAATGGACCACATAATTATTAGCCTTTATTTTCAAATCCTATCAGAGACTTTTCATCTCAGTAAACATAGTTCAGGTGCACATGTTTGTCCTTGAGAAGCAACTGTGCCTCTACAGCCTGTAATCATTTGTGGGGGTGAAAACCAGGAAGCCAACGAAGGAAGAGAAACCCTTTGCTCCACATTTCCCCACTTCATAACAATGGAATCTGAGGGTCCGTCTTTCTGAAGTGAGAAAGAGTGTTAAGCAGGAACTGAATGATGGGGAAAGTGTGCTTGTGAAATGTCTCCTCTTGGTCGCTGGGGGTCTCCTTGGTCACATGACTTAATGAGAAGGATAAAATCAGTGGCCAGATACAGTTGGATTAGCTTAAAAATCCAAGACTGCAGGGCTTGACGTACATGGCCTAGCAGGGAGCAAGTCCTGTTGAACTTAGTGGGGCTTCATTTACTAAGTTATTCTTTGCCTCCCTCCTGCAAAACATTAGGGTGGTCCACAGCAACATGAAAACCTTTAAAAGGACTCTGGAGCAGGCAGGTGTAATTTGTTATGGACATTTCATAATTTATTTTATTTTTTTAAAACAGTAGTTTGATGTTTGTGTAAGGAAAAAAAGGTTCTTTCTTTCTTTCTTTCTTTCTTTCTTTCTTTCTTTCTTTCTTTCTTTCTTTCTTTCTACCACGCACCCTTCCTGCCAAGGGCAAGTGCTGTGGGCTTGTGTTTTTAGCTTTTAAGCCCCACATCTGGGCAGTGAGAGGCCTTGTAGATGAAGCCCACAGGAGAACTTGAGTAATTCTTTCCTCTTCTCTGCAGGGTTGGTGTGGATGCAGATCAGGAGAACGTGGTAGGTGGCTGTGCTCTTTTTCTCTGCCTCTAACACAGGGGTGTCCGTGGTGGATATCCTCACATTTGTTGTGGTGGCATGTTGGTTAATTTCCTCACGTAAACAGTTTTTTATTTCTGTATGCAAAACGGTTTACCGTTCTGTTTCTGCAGCAGCCTTGCAGAGTAGTGACTGCCTTCAAGGCACCTTGAAGCTGAGTAGATACTTGAACTCTGTTGCAAGCGTATCTTCTGAAATAACACACCAGGGGAATAATTATGGGCAGAGAAAACCAGTCCCAAGCAGATGGGGAGGGTCTGTTGGTTCTCCCATGCAGTTTACAAGCACCGGCATGCAAACCCAAGACTAGAGACTAGCTGTGCAGAATTTGAGCCAGAAGCTTCTGGGAAGGATTGGTGCCATTTCGGGACCAAGGGCCAACATGAAGAAGAGGAAGAGCAAAGCCAACTCTCCCTGCCTTTCCTTGCCTGCCCACAGTCACATGAAAGAGTATGTGAAAGCAGCTTTTGAAACTCCCACTGTTCCAGGTGCATTTTGTGACAGGGAATTTCATTAGCGCGAGCAGTTTCTGAGCTTTCACCTGAGATTTCAGATTAAAAGTGCAGAATGGAAGGAAAGGAGGATCTTTTTCTGCCTCCCCACTTCCAGCTACTCTCTGAAAAATAGAGAAGAGTCTGCCTTAAGAACATTAGGAGGGTGGGCAGGGGAAGGACTGTACCATGTGAAAAATGAACATAAGATTTTAGGTGCAGTTCATTCATTTTCAGCTTTGTATTCTTGTTATAAAAAAGCATGCCTAGACACTCAGTTGCAGCGCCCATAACCTAGGTTTAAGGTGCCATTTAGCTCCTAGCTTTCATATCTCAGTTTCTAACACTGCATGAAAGCATCACTTCAGTGCCTCGACTTGCTGGAACCCAGGACATGTCAATCTGCCAGAAATTAGGACAGAATTCAGCATGGCCTTCCAGTGAAAGAGGGGATGGCAGGAAAAGTGAAGCTTCTGTTTGTGGTTCACGTCACTGAAAAGGCTTGCAAGCCTCTGACACCAATGCTTTGCCAGGCTATCACGGGCAGAAGAGTTTCTTTTCCCAGCCAAATGCCTTGTTTGGAGTGTGATTCTTGTCAACCAAAGTACTGTAACTGTGCCTCATTGATTTGTTTCAGGGAGTGCCGGAAAATGAAAGGAGAAGTACCAAAGCAGAGAGCGCTTGGTTATTCCGGCTGTGGTACAACTTCGACCATAAGTATCCTTAAGAGAAACAAAAACCGGTTCTCCTTGTTTCTCCTCCTCCTCTTACGTCTTGGCCTTTGTACTAGGAGGCCAATATCTGCCTCTGTCCATGATGGAGGAAGAGAGCTTCTCCTCTCTGAGAAGTCTCTTCTGCTCAGCTGTGGATCCTCGTCTTTCATACAGCCAATTGCCTGGCAGTCAAGAGCCAGAGTGATAAATCTGTCATATTTTCAGTTACTTAAAGAGTCAGCCAGCTATTTTAGCCTCTGGAGGTGTGGATGTTTTCCAAAGGTATAGTTTGTCACACAGGCTGCCCCCTAGAACTGTGGTTCCCAATTTGCTAGGTACTGCAGACCCGCGGTTTTTCAAAAGCCAAGCCATGGACCCCGTGCTTTTGAAAATGCTGGTCTCTCTGTAGCAGTTTTTGTTACGTGAATGGAGCCACCATACCTTCCAGCTTATCCTAGTGCCAAACCATCCATGCCAGACTAGTCACATGACCTGCTCGAGAGCATGGTGCCCCCAAAACATGCACTTTTGGGCCCTGCAATCTCAAGCTCACAGGAGAGCACGGCCCCCCCAACAAAGGATGTCCTTGATAGTTGACAGATATGTGCCATGGACCCCAGTGGCTCTAGTATAAAACTGATACCACTCAGCAGCGAATGTTTCTAGGTTGTGGAACAAAAACAACCTATTACTGAAGTGCCCCCAACAGGAGCAGAGAGCCCCCCCCACTTTCTTGGGACATTGGAAAACCAGTTTTCAGAAAGTGAAACTGGATGAAACTTTTTACCACCACTTAGTGAACAATTAGGTAGGACTACTAAAGGCCTGATAAAATTACTTTGCTCTGATCCTGGGTAGCCAGTTAGCCAGTCGTTGCCCATCAGAACCACTTGCTTGTGTGTTGCTTTTTGAAGAAGTTGGCCTGGAAAGTAAGACCTAAGTGCCATCTGTGGGCATGAGCTGAACACAAAATAAGGGCAACTCTGGAACGCATTCCTACTTAAAACTCACCTGGCTCCCTCTCTGTGTCTTCCCTGTTGGAAAAACACAAGGCATTTTTACACAGGGCTTTTTATGTACAATACCACATTCATTTGCCGCCACTTATCATATATCATATTTTTGAGCCTCGCTGTTAACCTTTTTTTTTTTTACTTTCATTTGCATTATATTTTACTACTTTTTAAAAAACAATCATTTTAAAATGATTTTACTGTATATTTTCATGATTATGTTGTATGCATCTCTTGTGTGAATGCATGCAGTGGGATTTAATAGGTTTTTGTTAATAACCTTGGCTTCAGCGAAGGTCCTGTGTGAGTGCCTGGAGACGGTTGGGGGATGGATGGCGGCTTACAGATTGAGGTTGAATCCTGACAAGACTAAGTCCTGTTGTGGGTGGGCGGGCACGCGGGTGTGGTAGACTCCCTGCACCTGAATCAGGCAGCAGTGCCCCTGAAGAACCAGCTGCGCAGCCTGGAGGTCATTTTGGACCCATGGAGGCCCATTCTGGTCCATTCTGTGTCCAGGGCAGCTCCATCTGGGACGCAGGATGAGACCCTCCCTGCCCGCAGACTGTCTGGCCAGAGTGGTGCATGCTCTGGTTATCCCTCGCTTGGACTACTGCAATGCACTCTATGTGGGGCTACCTTTGAAGGTGACCCAGAAACTACAACTAATCCAGAATGCGGCAGCCAGACTGGTGACTGGGAGTGGCCGCCAAGACCACATGACACCGGTCCTGAGAGATCTTCATTGGCTCCCAGTACGTTTCCGAGCACAATTCAAAGTGTTGGTGCTGACCTCTAAAGCCCTAAACAGCCTCGGTCCAGTATATCTGAAGGAGCGTCTCCACCCCCATCCTTCAGCCCAGACACTGAGTTCCAGCTCCGAGGGCCTTCTGGCGGTTCCCTCGCTGTTAGAAGCCAAGTTATACAGGGAACCAGGCAGAGGGCCTTCTCGGTGGTGGTGCTTGCCCTGTGGAACACCCTCCCACCAGATGTCCAAGAAATAAACAACTATCAGAAATTTAGAAGACATCTGAAGGAAGCCCTGTTTAGGGAAGCTTTTAATCTGTTTTTAATCTTTTGTTGGAAGCCACCCAGAGTGGCTGGGGAAACCCAGCCAGATGGGCAGCATATAAATAATAAATTGTTGTTGTTGTTGTTGTTGTTGCTATATAAAAAACCCATGAAGTGCTCTCATTGAAGTGTTTTGTGCCTTAATAACGCCCCCCTTCAGTTACCTGAAGCCCCTCCTGACGCACAGTGGTCCTCCTCTAACGACGACGCTCCCAAGCTGCTGCGGCCCCATTGCCAGGTGCCTGACCAGCCCTCAGGCTTATGAGGTACGTGCAGAACCTCCCAGAATGACCATGGAATGCTTTCTGTGTATGTTGTGTTTCTGCAGCTGCTGAGGTTTGGCTGTGCAAAACAGTTACTGTATTCTTGGAACAGCTTTTTCCACCAAGTGCTGTGATTGCTTTTCAGTTTCCAAATCAGACTGGCTTCTGTCTTTATCTATTTATCATATGCCACTTTCTTGCTCAAAATCGTGCTCAGAGCAGCTCCAAACAGCATCAGAAAAGTGCAATAAACATATATAGCAACATTTCAAGATAATCCAATGCTAACATAATGCAGCAGAAAGCCACATACCATACTTTTCCATGTATAAGACTATGGTTTTTTATTCAAAAATCTTGTTCAAATTTTGGGGTCATCTTATACATGGGTAGTGCATTGTGGGGACATGGGATTGGTTGCTGCCGTGAGTCGGAGATTGCTATTGGTGGCTGCGGAAAGGGCTGGTGTTGATTTGCTGTCGCTGCAGCAATTGGGCAGGCCAATTTACTGCTTTTGACAGCGAGGGGACAGAGGATAGTTTGCTTTGTTGATGCGTGTGAGCAGCACTGTCGGTCTGGCGGGTGAGTGATTTTTGTCATTCCCAAAAAAATCTGGGCCACCCCCCCCAAAAAAAGTTCAACAACTCTGGGCAATCCCCCCCCCCCAGTTTCTTAATTTTTTGTCCCCCCAAATAGGGGGTGTCTTATACATGGGGGTTGTTATACATGGAAAAATACGGTAAATATTGCTTGGTCAGTCAAAGTCCATCCATACCTCCATCATGTTCCCAATAGACCACCCTTTATTGGCATTCCTAAGCATCTGATAGGGACGCATGTGGCGCTGTGGGTAAAAGCCTCAGCGCCTAGGGCTTGCCGATCGCATGGTCGGCGGTTCAAATCCCCGTGGCGGGGTGTGCTCCCGCTGCTCGGTCCCAGCGCCTGCCAACCTAGCAGTTCGAAAGCACTCCCGGGTGCAAATAGATAAATAGGGACCGCTTACTGGCGGGAAGGTAAACGGCGTTTCCGTGTGCTGCGCTGGCTCGCCAGATGCAGCTTCGTCACGCTGGCCACGTGACCCAGAAGTGTCTCTGGACAGCACTGGCCCCCGGCCTCTTGAGTGAGATGGGCACACAACCCTAGAGTCTGTCAAGACTGGCCCGTACGGGCAGGGGTACCTTTACCTTTACCTTTAAGCATCTGATACTTCTGAACTTGGCAGTTGGATTTTGGTAATGGCCTTTGGGAGACCTGTTTGCCTCTGTAAAATTGTTAAATACTATGGGAGTCAAAGAAGATAAATTCTGTGGTGTTTTATGAATGCAGATGGACTTAATTTTTAAGCAATATTCTTGTGGAGCAGGTATTTAGCCCCATTTTACAGGTATAAGTGAGGCAGGGGAGAAATGATGACTACTCCAGTGGGATTAGGACCCAATTGTCCTGGATCTGAATCTCGTGGAACATGCCTAGGTTGTGAAACCTTCATATCCTGCTTGGAACATGGGTACCTTGTAGAAAATTGCAGTCATAAAATAAAAACTTTGTGATTTTATTATGCCAGTCAGACATATTGGGCAGCAGGAATAGATATTAATTCAGCATATTAGCTGCTTGGTAAAATAGCTCTTTTCTTTTACTCAGAATCAAGAGCAGCTGAAAGACGATGATTCAGACCTTATTTTGAATGACGGAGACATCAGTTTGACCTACGGGGATTCCACCGTGAACACAGATTCTTTGACCTCTGGCGCATCTCGAAGGGCGGCGGGAAACGGTTCCGAGGACACCCTGGACCAGGAGCTTGGGTTTGGGGACCACGAACTTGTCATAAGGGGCACACGCCTTGTTCTCCCCATGGATGATTCAGAGCCACCCTCAAATGTAGTAGACAATGCCAGACATGGGCCGGCATGAGATCTGCTGGTAACAAGGTGATCAGTAAAAAACCCCCACATACGATCATGAAGAAAAATGTACTACCTACAACAAAAAAACTACTGCATGGCTCAGAATGTCTAAGCTGTATAAATATTACTTATTTATATGGTGTTAGGAGAATATAACTACCCATATGAGACAACTTGTGAAGAGCGACTCTTAATTTTCATAAGTGAAACTCATGTGTAGCAGTGGAACTGTTTTAGAACAAATATCCGTTATGAAGGGGGAAGGGGGGGACTGCTGCCAATATCTTCCCTCCCAACTTGTGTCAAATAGTCTGCTTTTCTTTTGCAATTTCCCATCACTTACCTGAGAGTAGGAAGGAGGTAGTGGTGGTGGTGGCATCTTGGGTTGCGTTTTGCCACGTCCATCTCAGGTGGTGAGCAGGTGGTTTTGGTTGCCTTCCTTTAGTGGATGGCAGCTCTGGAGACTTGAAATTTCCTCTCTGTAGCACTGCTATAGGATTTGTTAGAACAGACCTTGATATTATGATGGCCTGCATGCTAAACCTGCCACCAGCCGATAAGAAGCTGTGATGGTGATAGAGTGCTTGGATGAAACGGTCAAGGAGCAAATGGTCAGTGGCTTGTTGACAGGAGCCGCTTGCATCTGTCCTTCAGTTGCAGCAGGTGCTTCTCATAATAATGCTCCAGGTGATTCATAAAAGCAAGTTCTTTAAGATTTCTGCTTGGATTGAAGTTGGGTGTTTGTTTTCTTTTTGTGTTTAAATTTCTCTCATGCCTTATTCCATAGGGCCAGGGCAGGTTCTGAGTTATGAAGCAGTCAAAGTGGGCAAAGTTTGGTTTTTCACATAGAGAATTAAGTAGTGTTTCTAGGTCAATTAACAGCCATACGAAGCCATTGCTGGCTCCCTTTCTAAACTTGCAACTGAGTGGCTGTGCCTTTCAGCTATGTCAAAATTTTCTTCTTGCTGCATAGCTGCCAAGAAGACCAGTTCCACACCATATCATGGAGTTCAGCTGTGTGAACAGGACATGCAGAGGTTTAAGACTCTTAGGTGTGGGTTTTCAAAAGTGGCAGTTTAGGTAGTACCGAAAGGGAGTTGTCTGTCCATCCATCCTGTATAGTTGCGCTTTGGTTTGGTCACTTCTTCGCATGCTTATGTGACTATAAAAAAACTACAACCTTTGGTTTTTGTTCTTGTGTCTCTTTCATGTTAAATGAGAAATATATTTGTGAGCTGCCATAGATTATTTACATGTTTTTGTTTTGTTTTGTTTTGCCTAAGGAAGAGCACTGAACAACTCGCTGATAGTGCACTTGGTGTATTCAGCCTCATCCTGCCATGATATTTTTTTATTAAGCCTTTTGATTTAGTTTGTTTACTTGGTGCAGTGGGTGTTTTTGGGAAGCCATGATTTCTGAATGCCATGTTTTCTTCAGAGAAAACAGTTGCCATATAAAACCTTTCAATGTACAGCTCTTATTTCTGCCCCTTTTCTCAGAGCGCTATAGGGCTGTACAAACTTAACACTTTGCTCTGCTAACACAAAAGTGTGATGACCCTGAAAAAAGAAGAGAATCCGGTTTTGATTTGTTTGAACATCATTCCATTTAACAACAGTACAAAGAAGAGAGAGAGAGAGAAGCTGGAGAGAAGCAAAGCCACCCCCTAAAGGCAGTAGATTCCCTAACTCGGTTGCAGCAGGATGTTGGGAAAGGTGTGGGGAGTCAGGCCCCTATGTGGTGGATGTGCCCCATAGCACAAGGTTTATGGAAGACAGGCAGCTGCAGCAGGAGAGGGAGAAGCAGCCTGGACTATCTCCTCCAGGAGGGAGAGTGTGGCACATGTTCACACCTGCAAGAGAGCTTGGCTTCTTAGGGGTGCCAGCCGGACTTCTTGTATTTATAAGAATTGGGGGCCTTTGACTTTCATCAGTGGGTGATGGTTCCCATCTTTTCCAGCACTAAGCAGGAAACACTTAAGTGCAAAAGTAGCAGGAGGTGGAGTTCTTGCAATACAGCCAAGAAACCAAGATAACTTCTCTCTCTTTCTTTTCAAACTGTTTTTTTATGTTCTCAGGTCTGAATGTCATGCCTTAAGTATGCTTCCATGCAGTTCCTTGTTATTTATGTCCTTTCTTTCTGGCTGCATCCAGCCATAGAGGTTGTTCATGCAAGCCCTATTGAAACGAAGGGAAATTTTTCAAGAACAACCCCGATTCATGTTTTTCTTCTTCTCCTCCAGCTTGCACAAGAGAAGTAGGACCTCCACTGCACCTAAAAAATTAATAAATGCCGGTTTCCATTGTTATCATAGGAATTCGTTGTTGAGTACTGATACATCCTTTCCCCCCCTCCCCCCGCTATGCAGGAATTCCATGAAGTATGTGTGTGTATTTTTATATGATGTCTGTATCTTAAAAGTTTGATGTTAAAACAGTAATAGGGAAAATGTTCATGAGTTGAGATTTTTACATCACCTGCACATTAATGATTTCCTTTGTTTAAGGCTTTTCCAAACAAGAGTCAATGACCTCTATATCCCCCTCTTATTAAATATTTTGTAAACTGTAATATAGCCAGTAATCATATTGACAAAAATATCCCCGTCTGATACTGTGGAATGTTGTGAAACAAACTTCCTTGTCAAATCTTCTTCTAGTCCACAGGGTGTCGCTGCACTCCTCACCTGAACAGGGAGAGTGCCTGTGCCCCTTGGTGCCCCCTTGGACCTTGTTCTGATGAACTTTTTTTGTAGGTAATACCAGAGGGAAATAATTCTTAGGCTCACATTGGCCGCCTCCCTTTTCTGTCTTCCCATTGCAGAAAGTAGCCCATGTCACAGCGTTGCAATGCTGTGTCTGTGCCAGTCACCTCTCAATACAGGAGAGCCAGAGAGGGGCTACCAGTAGCAGATTCAGTGAGATCTTGATGCAGCTGAATCCAGTAAAGTGAAACACTAAAATGTTAAAAAGAAATAAATGCACACACTTCAGTGCCACGATAAATAAACCAGATTGGCAGGGTGTAAACAATACAATTGTTGTTGTTGTTGTTGATTGATATAGATGTTTAAATACAATAATAAATAAAATGATAGATCCAGATATGAGAGGCAACAAATGATGCATAAGATCAAATGCAGATCATCCAGACAGACTAGATTTACTGGGACAAATCATATGGAGAAATGTTTTGGATCACTGAGGAAGTCCCACATGGTTGGAACACATTTTGGTCTTGGCACAATTGTTTGTCACAAGAGTTGGTTGATCAGGCATCGATTGGATATATCAGTATATTTATTAATCCCTTTATTTTATTTGAATACATTTTATCTCTCGTGGTATTAAAGCTTGCATACTTCTTTCTAACATTTCTGGAGTAGCAAGTTTTATTCTTTTGATCTTACCCAGTTCACTGTTCTGTGTCTTGCTTTGGAGGTTAAGGCCCACGCACCCTCTTTGCAATATAGCATCCCGTCATTCTTTACTGTCTCGCTGGGAAGAGAAGGATGAAGTGCATTCAGTAGCCAAAGTCTTCCTCCCTTTTGCAGAAAAGGGTAGAAAAATGTTCCCTCTTTGTTGTCAATAGCAGTCATGGAAAGTTCCCATAACCCTGTAAGGTGGGAGCAAAGTTGCAAGTTGTCATTTGTCGAAGTGGGCACTTGGGAAGAATATAGGTTCCCTGGCACAAGTGATGTATTCATGCTCAAAGTGGGGCACGAACAGCAGGCACAGATATTATCCCTGCCATGCTCCAGAGGAGACATATGGGGCTCTTTCAGTCTCACTTTCCAAAATGGTGGCAATTGAATGTACATAATTTATGGGTGAGAGGATCCGCTGCCAGCATTGCTTCTGTATCTTAGTTATGAATTAAGGGTTTGTAGTCATCCACATAAATTTTGTGGGTTGCTGTTCTGGCCAGGATCCCTGCCCTCGATTTCCCTTTGCCCAGACTGAGCATCTCTGCTAAAATGAAATGCCATTTTTAAAAAACAAACTCTCTCTTTATGTAGTAGTAAGCTCCCCATCTTTGTTTCATACATTTAGCTGCTTGGCATGTTTATGTCAACAGGCTGCTGTAAGTTCCAGATTTCTGTTGCTTATTAGATGAATATTCTGTTTTCGTCAGGGTGATTGTTTTGGTCCCAGATTTTATTGCATGTGAATAATAAAGAGAACCTTTTAACAGAACTGATTAAAGACATATACTTAAATTGCCCAAGGTTCACCCATGATTTGCCAGAAATAACTCCTAATATTTTGTATTGACTAATTTATTTGATGTTAATGTAGAACATTATTTGTGCTTAATATCTCCAGGGGGTCTTTGCACTCTTCCCCCATCCTTAATGACCTCGAATACAGCTGTGGGAACTTACTACCTCCCAGGTCCAGGTATGGACCCTGATAGGCCGTGTCTGGTGACACAGGAGCATAATCCTTGATAAAAGGATTAAGAAACCCCTTCCTTTGGAGCTGTCTTTTCTCTGAACAGAATGGACACATTTTTCTGCATCAGATGACACTGTATGTCAAGTTCTGGTTTATTCTACTTACTATTGGAATTGTCTGTTGGAATTTCATGGTACTATTAACTGCTATAGTTGTGGTGTTCTTGTAATTATATTCTGAAGCATAATTGCACCTTTTTTGGTTTATGATAACTAAATCTTTGATTGTTCCCTGCACTGTGAAAGGAAAAAAGAATCATGGGCCTATAAAAAATAAGTTTGTTTCTTTGGATTTTGTGTCTCTTTGTGTTCCTTGTAACAACTTATAATTCCATGCTTATTTTGCATATTTGGTGATTTAAAATCTTTGCTAGGGTTTTATCACGAAAGAGTACTTATCCCAAACCTGGATCTTGCTATCTATGGAATTCTTCCTTTTATTATACGTAGCATTTTATCTTTTAACCAAAATACAAAAAAACAAGAAGTATTCACCCTGACTGATCCTAGCACCTTGTCCACATCCTTGAGCCTTACGAACCGTAACTCATCCAACACAGCAGGGCTAGACACCTTGAGATCCATCTGCTGTAACAGCAGTCAAGGTCCCAGTGGGTGCAAGCAATTTTATCCTCAAAGAGCTTTGCAGACAAGTCACAGTATGGTACTGTGGGCCCCACCACCTCCTTTGGGCCAGGCTAAAAGGTTCTGCACCATCTGGAAAAGCTCTTCTGGGTGGCCCAATTGGGATGCAGCAAAGTAGGCCTTCTTGATGATAAGCCTGCATCAGTGCTCAACTGCATTCAACTGGAGTTTTTCTCCACTTGCATGGAAGCCTTGGGTGGGTAGGGAGGGCCAGCTCCCCCCCCCATCAATAAAAATAGTTAACTGAGGCTCTGCCCCCCAGTGGTGGAGGAAGGGGGCACGCCCTGCCCTGGGTGTCATCACTGGAGTGTGTGTAACAAAATGAGTTTTTGTTTTTGTTTTTTAAAAGGGATCACGAAACTTTTTAGGAGTGACATGGTGGCTTAGGCGCCTGCAGGTTCTGCACTGCCTGAAACAGCAGCATGGGACTTGCATCTGCCTCTCCCTCAGCCGCCCTACAGCTGGGGGGGGTGCGGCGAAGAGGCTCCAAGCTTTGGAGAGGCTTGCCCTGCCCTCACGGGCAGATCACCCCACCCCCAACTGCAGGACACTCCCCCGCACCAGGCACCCAAGCGGCTAGCTATGCCACTGCTGGCCCCTCCCAAAAAAATCCTGGCTGCGCTCATAATTGAAGCTGTCTCATTATCTTGCCCTAAGCTCTGCAGTATACCAGGGAGCCAGGCAGGCTCTCCAAGCAGGAGCAATCATGTCAATGGCTTGAGCCATTCAGATGTTCTAGATCAGGCTTCCTCAACCTCAGCCCCCCAGATGTTTTTAGCCTACAGCTCCCATGATCCCTAGCGAGCGGGACCAGTGGTCAAGGCTGATGGGAATTGTAGTCTCAACGTGCTGCAGCCCCCGGAGTGGAGAACAGGTAGGGGCGTGGCTGGCACACGTCCCAGGGGCGCAGCTGTGATGGCACCCTTTCCCCAAATGGTACCCGGTGCAGCGCATTCCCCCGCCCCCCCTTCGTATGCCAGTACTAGAGGTTGGCCAGGGCTTCAGCCTCAGAAATCTCCCAGAACCGCCTGGAAACCCATTGGATCCATCAGCCTCTGAGGGTGAACTGTCCTAACAGGTCCGCTACCTCTGTAGAGTGGGAAAGGTGCTAAAAGCCTAAATCTCTGGAGCTACTGCAGCAGCACAGAAAGGAAGAGGCACAGCTTGCCTATGTCAGGATTTTTCTCTTGGAAGTCAAATGCAAGCATCATGCATGCATTTTCCAGCCAGGCCTTTCTCTCTCTCAGTGCAGCAGGCACAGATCTGCTTCTTCCGAATTCTCGAGAGGAGGTGCAGCCTGCAATGGAAGCAGAAAGACTGCTGTTGCTCAGACAAGAAGCAAGCAGTATGGCCTTAGCCAAATGGCAGTAACTTAACTCAGGAAGTGGGATGAAGACAGACCCCAAAGTCTCTATTTGGCATCGCTGTTGAGTCATTTATACAGGGAGAAGAAAGGGGAACTAAGGAGTTCTTAAAAGAGGGTACCAACCCTCCAGGACTTGTGTGGAGGCAGTCCCATGCATAAGGAGGGACAGAAATAAGGAGAGGGGTTGCAGGAGACCACCTGGCAGCTGGGTGGGATGTCACAGGTAAAGGTGCATTGGGAAATAAGAGCAGAAGCGAGAGGCAGCTCTTCAAAGCACCAGATGCAGTCTATGCCAGATTGAGAAGGCACCTGGGTACAGTGGTACCTCGGGTTACAAACACTTTGGGTACAGACTCCACTAACCTGGAAGTAGTACCTCGGGTTAAGTCAGAACCTTGCCTCAGGATGAGAACAGAAATCATGCATTGGCAGCAGCGGGAGGCCCCATTAGCTAAAGTGGTGCCTCAGGTTAAGAACGGTTTCAGGTTAAGAACGGACCTCCAGAACGAATTAAATACTTAACCCGAGGTACCACTGTATAGTCACATAGTGGGAGGAATAAGAAGCTTCGGCTTTGGAAGACCGCGGCATGATCATAGCTCATTGGTAGGGAGCGTACATGTCTTACAGGCAGAAGACTTGCCTCTGGGCATCTTCAGTGAGTAGCAAGGTGTCTGCCTTGGGAAGCCGCTGATACTGAACTACATGGACCAGTTTATTTGCCTTGGAGAAGGCAGCTGTGTATGTTTGTATGATTATAGCAGCATTTATAGGATCACAGATCTGAAAGAGAGTAGCCGGCAGGCCAAATATTTCAAGGGGCAACAGAGATTGGGTGGAAGCTGTAAAAGTGGAATACGACTTAAGGGGGAGGAGCTCTATCAACATTCAGTGAAGGGACAGCAACTCCTAGGTGGAATTCCCACTGGCTGGAGGCCAGACTTTTCCTGGTCCATGCCAGTCCTTCCCTGGGGCCTCCTTTCCGTTGTGTGTCCTCGGGCGATGTGCGTGCCCCACAACAGGACCTTCCTTCACCTGTCCTTGCACAGTGCAGCCAAGGAGTGGCAGCTGGGAAAGGGCTGCGCTTGGTGCCTTGGCTTGCTCCCTGCCGCCCTCCTACTAGGCCTGCTGCAGCTGCAGCTCAGGTGCTTCTGGGACGCTGCCAAGCCCACCAAGGAGCACCAGGAGCACACCAAGCTGAGAGGGCAAACATGGTAACCAACAGGCAACCTCCATGAGGAGCAGCTACTGAAGGGGTGCAGCACCGCCCACCTCTTGCCTCCCATGCAATCCCTGCAAGGAGATTAGGGGGAACCATCTTTGCCTTGCTGGGGTGCTGCCAATGCACACTAATGCTCTAGAGATAAGAGTGAAAGGCAATTAACCTCTAATGCTCTGAAAAAGACATTTTCCACATCAGGAGACAGAGAAGCTGTCAGCTCGGGGAAACCAGAGGGGGTGATCGACTTATGAGCGGAGGAATCAACATCTTTCCAAAAGATATGTTAAAACTCTGATGGGCATAAGGTGTGCAAAAGCCCCCCTTTCTTTAATTATCTCTGAGATGGTTATAATTTATGACTGAGAAAGGTTTCTCTGTCAGCCAGTGGATATTTACATCTGGTGTGTGAGCTACTTTCTGGCTTTAAGAAGAGTCAATCATTAAAGGCTGAAGGCAGAACAGAAAGCACGCTCTAATTGTTTTAGACAATAAATTTTTAAATAATTACAGGAAGTTAGGAGTGCTAAGAATTTTTATTTTCTTAATTTTTAATTTTCTTTTTTCTTGATGAAAATTCTTTTTTCTTGAAATCAAAAATAATTTTGCCACTTCATATTTATTCCATGGGAAAGGAAGGTGTTTTCATTAGAGAAAACACTGTGAAGATCTTAAGGATCTTAAAAAGACTGAAATATTAGTAAGACCAAAAACATTCAGTATGGCAAATATATCACTGGACATTCCACCGACTGTTGGCATCCTTCAGCAAATGTTTGATGAGCAGAAAAGGTCATTAAAGCTAGGATTGATGAAATGGTTAATGAAAGAGGATCAGAGGATGAAATGGAAAGCGGAATCAAAGAGGACAAAGAGACTTCGGAGAAGAATATAGATAAAGGATTGCCAGAACAGGAAGGTGAAACGGAAAAGTCTTTCATACAGATTTTTAGAAGAATGAAGGAGTTAAATAGTGAAGCTGAGATGTTGGAGGAGTGCAATGAAGCCGTGGAGGGAGAGCGGAAGAGACATGATGAGCTAGCAGAGATAACTGAGTAAGGACTCTCTGTACAGCTTGGAGTGATTTTCCAGGAAAAAGCTATCAAACCTCTGGAGCTTTTCTTGGAAATATAATAAAAGAAGCATAAATTGAAGGATTTTTTTTCCAAAATCAAGGTGAAGAAACCATGGCAAATACAGCAGGAAATGGGAATGGAAAATATATAACTGGTTGTGAACTGATGAATACATAATCAAAAAAGAAATATGGATTATTATTTTAATATATTATCACAGCAGAGAGATTTGCGAGGAAAAGATGGAAAGCCTTATTATGGTTTAATATGGAGGAATTATTTGTTGACATTATTGGTGATGAAGCTGATACGTTTGAATGGAGAAAAACAATTGCTGACATTTATTAATAACAAAAATTAGATAACCCCTTTGGACTTTTTGTGTGAAAAGGAAAAGGAATTAATATGAGACATTTGGGTTGGAAGACTGGGACAATAGATCAGTTGGATGTCAAGCCAGAGTGAATATTTTGAATGATTTCTTTCATGTAAGTGACAAACAGAAAATCAGAACTTTTATTTTTCTTCTTGTCTTCTATTTTTGTTTTCCTTTGGTGTTTTCTCTTTTTTTCCTCTGTTCTTGCTTTTATTTAAATTAGTTTCTTTTAACTTATTGTATTATGTATTATGAAAAAGCTTTAATAAAATCTTATTTTTTAAAAAAAAAGTGGCATAGGGCTCCCTTAAACTGTTTTTTCCTGTAAATCTTACCAATGAAGTATTGGCAGAGGAGGCAATTGTCTCACCATATTGGGGAATTTTAAATTGTATATTGGGTGTATAAAATGACATAGTGGAAAGATTAGTAAGCCCTCGCAGGATTGTGTTCTATGTATTTTGTAATTTTGCATTTGCTGTTAAGATACCTTGACTTTCTAAGCCAGTATGATGTGGTGGTTAGCATATTGGATTATGAGTTACAGCACAGTGTATACATATGTGCACTTGGGAATAAGCCCTAATGTGTTCCATGCGCCTTACTCCCA